ACCTCAGCAACCCTTTTGTGTGTGATGTCCCCACCTGAAGCTTTCGTGACATCCATAGTGGTAAATATCTGGTACAAGGGGGAAAAAAAAAAAAAAAAACAAACAATGAAAAAGGTAAGCCCATCTGTTTTACTGGTGTGGTTATTAAAATTGACATGAAAGTACGCATCAATCAACAGATCACACAAATATTACCAAATCAGACAGCACAGCGACCTAGAGGTTAGCATTCTTTTCCTGCAATACTGATCTTAACATTCAGACCAGGACACAATTTGCATGAAGTTTGCATATTCTCCCTGTGCTGGAAAGGTTTTCCCTGGGTGCACTGGCCGTAGTGTATGTATGTATGTATGTATGTATGTATGAATGTATGAATGTATGAATGTATGAATGTATGAATGATGATAGGGACCTTAGATTACTCCTTGAGGGCAGAGACCAATGTGAATGTACAGCAAGTAAAAGGCTGCATAAATTCCTGGAATAACTAATAAGTAAGTCAAACTACTGTTGCACTTCCTTATGTGACCTATAAAGTGGAACTGTGAGAAAACAAACACACACACACACACACACACACACACACACTTTAAAAAGAAGCGTACTGTGGACAGGTTTATTAACCATGTGCTGCCCGCCCTATGGCCGAATGGCGGGCGGCAAATGTCATCAGCGTTCCGGGTGGACGCCATATGTGCAGATTGCGCTCCTTCGGACACGGCCGATGACAGATCTGAGTATCGGCCCTGTTGCTGGTACCATGTGACCTGCTGTGACCAATCACAGCAGGTCACATGACAGTTGTATACAATGGATGGCTTCATTTATGCCATCCATTGTATACTAGTGTCTAGCTGTGAATGGTCACAGCTAATCACATGCAGGTCATGTGATTAGCTGTGGCCAAATCACAGCTAAGCACAAAAAAAAAAAAAAACAAAAAACAAAAAAAAACACAACACCCTGAATGATGTCATTCAGGTAAATGCTTGCTTATAGCAAAGTAATTCTTTGCTATAAGTAAATCGTGTAAAAAACAAAAAAAAACAAAAAACAAAAACTGATCACTTCCTCAAAGTAGTACAATGTTACTATGGTAACATTGTACTACTTTGATCATAGTGAAATATGAAAAAAAAATAAAAAAAAAAATAAAAATATATATATATATATATATATATATATATATATATATATATATATATATATATATATATATATATATATATATATATATATAATAAAAATAATTTTTTTTTTTTTTTTTCCCCATACGGTCGCCAGTCAGTGTCGCTGATCACTGCCATGCCAGTTATATGACGACGCTGTACTGCACTGGTGACAATATGTAAAAAAAAAAAAAAAAAAAAGTGAAACTAATTTTTTAAATGTTTTCATTTTCCAAAAAAATGACAAAAAAAAAAAAATACAACTTCAAAAACCTCGCCACTCCTCTTATGAAGTACGTCAGACTGTCTACTTTGCAAAAAGGGGTCATTTGTGGGATATCTGTACTGTGCTGACATTTGGGGGATATCTGTACTATTCTGACATTCTTGGACCTCAAGAAATTAGATTGGCTGTCAGTACTTCAGGATTGATCAATATTCAGATCTATCCCATAGTTTGTGAACTCTATAACTTTCCTACAAACTAAAAAATACATCCTAATTTGGGTTATTTTCACCGAAGACATGTAGCAGAATACATCTCGGCCTAAATTTATGAAGAACAATTATTTATTTGTAAACTTTTATAAACAAAAACAAAGAAAAAAAAAAAAAAACTTTTTTTGGTCTTTTTTGTTAATTTAGCAAAAAGTAAAAACCCCAGCGGTGATTAAATACCACCAAAAGAAAGTTCTAGTTGTGTGAAGAAAATGATAAAATTTTAGTTTGAATGACAATTGCATGGTCATACAACATTTTACCCAAAGTGTGAGCGCTGAAACCTGAAAACTGGCCTGGGCAGGAAGGGGGTAAAATTGCCCGGTATGGAAGTGGTTAAGAAGAAAAAAAAAAAAAAAAAAAAAAAAAAAGGAGTTGGACTGCCTGTGCAACCTCTGTAGGGTCCTCATGCTACCAGTAGTGACACTGACCCTAGACCGGGGTGTCGGCAACCCGCGGCTCCAGAGCCGCATGCGGCTCTTTTTCATCTTTGCTGCGGCTCTGGAGCACACTGCCCACCAGGTGACAGGCAATAGGGTTTCAGTGGTCGGCAAGCCGCGGATCGCAAGCCACATGCGGCTCTTCTGTGTGCCGGGCGCCCGCTCCCCTCCCTCCTCTCGGGCGGCCGCCTCAAAAGTCAGGACTCTTTTAATCCAGCCCGCGGAGCGTGGAACATTAGCTGTCAGGATGTAGGCGGGGCAGCCAGGATGTAGGCGGGGCAGCGTGACGAAATCCTCTCACAGTCCGCCCTGAAGACCGGAACACAGCGCGGGAACACAGCGAGAGGAACGCGCGGAGCAAAGGTAAGTGAATTGAGACAATATGGGGAATTAATTACTATAGGGGGGATGAATTACTATGGGGGATGAATTATTATATGGAGGATGAATTACTATAGGGGGGGATGAATTACTATATGGGGGATGAATTACTATATGGGGGATGAATTACTATAGGGGGGGGATGAATTACTATATAGGGGGGATGAATTACTATAGGGGGGATGAATTACTATAGGGGGGATGAATTACTATAGGGGGGATGAATTACTATATGGGGGATGAAGCTAACTGCACGATCCTGTATATAGCATTAAGGTAAGAAACAATATATGCAGTGTCGGATTTGTTTTAAATGTTGCAATGGTTTTGCGGCTCCCAGTCTTTTTTTTCCCTTCGGAAACGGGTCCAAGTGGCTCTTTTTGTCTTAAAAGTTGCAGACCCCTGCCCTAGACAAATGCAAAACTAGAGAAAAATCAAAAACAATGGGAGTAGGGAAAAAAAGGTCAGTGGCCTCCACCTGTAAAACTATTCCTGTTTTGGGGGTCATCTCACTGTTGCCCATCTAGTACACCTGCTAATTTCATTAACACCAAAAGCAGCTGAAACTGATTAACAACCCCTCTGCAAATGAACGGACCAGATTAATATCCCGGGAGCTTTATTGGCTTGATGCTATAACAAAAGTGCCTGGTCCCCCCCCAATGGGCTCTGTGGTCCCACTAAGCCCATCAGGGGAGCAGAAGATAGCATCTTAAATTGATTTGAGGATTCTACATGCAGACATTTCTTTTCAATACAGATTAGACACCGGGAGAGGCAAGTATTTCCAATCTTCACTGCAGAGAAAGTTTTTTTTTTTTTTAAACCTTTATTTTAGCAACAGTCCTGTTTTATTTATAAATGCCTGCTGTTCCATTTTCTAATATAAACATTTGGAAGTTCTTCCTCCAGTATCTGTCAAATACTGACTGTGGATCCAGCACTTTTGCAGAAAGGCAGCCAAGAGGATGTATATTTTCCCGTTGCAGTAGGATAGTCTAGTATAGACTAAAGCATAACGTGTAGTACTAGTAAACAGGGTTTTCACATGTTAGTGGCTGCCATTAAATACATACCAGTATATAGTTACACACTATACAGTAAATTGCTCTCAATCCCTGAATGGGTCTCCTTCATAGACGGTTGAATTCTGAACACCAGGTGTGTCCTATGTACCACAGAGAGCACAAATCCAATAGAAGAGACTGGCTGGACTCTGAATAAAACTCAAATGCTGGTAACTTTATCCACTTTCCCATCATCCCTATAGCAGAAGTACTAATACAGGGTAGAAGGGCTGTGCAAAATCAAATATACGTGATTTGCATTCCCGGGTAGGGGGCGCGCGTGCGCCACCCTACCCCTGCCACTATTGGTGGCTAGGGATGTCAATCACTGGCTCCCGGCCAGCGAATCCCAGCTGGCACTTAGGGATCTTCAGTTAAAGCGGACAGGGAAATACATGCTTTGTATTTCTCTAAGTAGTAGTAAAACACAACACAGCACATACTGTAAACACAGCACAGTTAACCCTTTGATCGCTCCAGATGTTAACCCCTTCCTGCCCAGTGCCATTAGTACAGTGTCCATACTTATTAACACTAATCACTGTATTAGTGTCACTGGGGAGGTCAGTGGCAGTTAGTCAGTTCCCACCAAGTGTCAGAACGCCCACCACAGTCCAGTTATAGTCGCTGGACTGCATTCTATAGTGGATGCATTCTATGCATGAAGGTAAAAAAAAAAAAAAAAAAAAACAAAAAAAAAAAAAACCAAAACACACCTTAATTGTTCAGCACCCCCCCCCCCCCCCCCCCAGCTCCCCAAATACTTACCTGAGCCCGATCTTGATCCAGCAATGTGCTTGATAGCGGCAGCTCCCCCAGGTCTCTACCTCCTCACTGGCAGAGACATAGCAGCGGGTGAGAGAGCTGAGCTCTGTGTATTTTACAGACACAGAGGTGGCTCTGGGGGCACGTACAAAGTGCCCCCAGAGCAAGCATCTTGCTCTGGAGGCACTCAGCAGAGGGGGAGGCGCAAGCAGCACCCAAGAAGAGAATGATTTTCCACAGACCCGATAAGTACATTTTTTTTTTTGTAATCTGAACCTTTAGTATCACTTTTAAGACCAGCCTTGTGGGTGAAATGCGTTAGTGGAGGAAGTTTCAGGTGGGGACTCTTCATGTTGCCTGGATGAATATAGTTATCAGCCACTGGAGTTTTCTTCGGAGAACAGCAAGTCTCTCTCTAGATTTATACACAAACAAGCTGTCTTTAACAAGTTACGATTAAGCCGATGACATTCACATGCACATCCGAGCCAATCTATTTTAGTGCCAGGCAGGCAAGGGAAATCCGTTGCCCAGTTGAGTAATAAAATACTGTTTGTTGCCTTTTTACGAGTTACAGGTGGTTACACTTCAGCCGAGGAAATGCAACATTCTGCCATTGCTGGAAATTGCTCTGCATCTGCTAAATGATTTTATTTGACAATTTACAGCATATGTTTTCACAAAGCAGCTTGGCAAGTCTTCATGCCGAGAAAGAAAAAGACTGAAAATACGACAAACATTCCTAGCAAGTCAGTTTTTACATTGCTGTGAAACTGGTAACCGAACGGCCTGGTGCTACTCACCTCTGCACATGTTGGGTGGATGCCGATGGTCTCGTCTAGCTTCTCTTTGGTGAGTCCACATTTCATTGCTGCAGCATAGCCCTGAGTTATCTCGCCGGCGTTCGGACCCAAGACATGAAATCCAACGACACGCTCCTAAGGAAGAATTAAAAATTACTCATTGGCCAAATCCTGCTATTTTTGGGGGAAAATAATGTTCTTTGCATCACATATGGTACATGCATGCAGTATTAGATCACAACTGCCACAAAAAGTTTCACTTCCTAGTAAGAAAAAATGCAAAGCAAGCCCTTTACAAATTACTGAATAACTCTTTAGTAAATACCACACAAAAGGGCATTAATTACCATATATATATATATAGTAATTAATATAGATATCGTGATATAGATACCTCTATCTGTATCTAACCTCTATCTACACATATACTTTTTTTGTATTTAAAAAAAAACCCGGTAGAAAAAAAGCACACACACACACACACACTAACCCCCCCTTACTCTATCCAAAATGAAATAAAATAAAGTTATACTTGAAGGCAAATAGTCACTGCAATTTGCCAGTTGCTCCAGAGCTTAGCACATCAGACAAAGAATACCCAATCACAAGCAAAGAAAATGAATCATATTTTTGCTTGCACATGATTGGATGATGGAAATCAGCAGAGCTCCCACTCATTTACTATGCTCTGGAGCAACTTCACCTGCAAAGTGCTCAGTCTATGTGCCTTTAGTAAATCCACCCCATTAAAATGTAGTAAAATATATCTTTTTTCCTCCTGTCATTTAGGCAGATTCTTGAAAACTTTTTTTTTTTTGTTTATATACAAACATATACATCATTTGCTACAAAAAAACCTTCTAGTCACTCCGAACATAATCCCATGTACATGCATATCACAATGGTCTTACCCCTTGTTAAAACATATGTCATGTATGTAGTGGGGATACTTTACTTTTTCACACATTTTTAGAGATCTTCCCACTGACAAGTTCTCGCTGACATCTTTTCAGCCATCTATAAAAAAGGAGATAATTCTTCCCAGTGACCACAAGTGTAAGGAGGATTCTTCCCACTGGCCATCACACTAATGTATCATGAGTTGTAGATATAGTCATTTTTAGCAGGGGTTGCCCAATACCGGAAACTTATTTCACAGGTTTCACAACAGGTTGTATTGAAGAGATTGAGAAAGGCTGCTTGGGGGGCCAATTCACATGCAGTTCTGTGCAGTGCGATTTCAGCCCTATTCATTTTGATTGGCCTGAAAGCACACTGCACCAAAAAGTAGAGCATGCACTACTTTTTGAAACGCATGGCAACCGCATCGCTTGCACTTTTCTACCATGCAATCCAGTGTGGGCAAATGCAATTCGTTTGCAACCTGCATCTGCAGTGTCGTTACCTTTAAACTGACCTCTGCAGCAGATCGTAAGTGCATTGCGATCAGAATGCAGTGCGGGAAGCTGCACCGGACTGTGGCTCTCCCGCACAGCATTTTAGTGTAAACAGGCCCTGAAAGTGTAAATAAAGGCAAAACTAGATTTTTCATTTTGGAAAGTAATAGAGAGTTATGCCAACCCCCTTCCCCCATCAGTTTGCCATCCCATCTGTGCCCTCATTGGAAGATTTCCACTTTAGTTACTATTCTGGGGACAATGCAAAAGTTGGGATTTTCTTTTCATTTCGCTTTCCATAATAGTAATAATAATAATAAATAATAATAATAATAATAATAATAATAAGAATTCACACTGTTTGTCCTGTTGACTAAGGCTACGTTCACACTAGCCTTGTGTGCAGGCGGCAGAGAGGTGTTTGGGAAGCGTTTTTACCGCTTCCCAAACGCCTCTGCCAATTCTGCACATTACAGCACATGGTGCTGTTCTAACAGGAGCGTTTGCGTCGCGTCGCGGCAAAACGGACGCCTCTGGTCGAGTCAGGAGGCTTTGAAGCCTCCTATTCTCGTCTATGGTGCCGCTCCGCAAACGCCCGGCCGGCGTTTGTGGTGCGGTTGCGACGCGGTTGCGGGGTGTTTTGCGGAGCGGTAACACCACTCAAAATGCATTATAGGCGTTTGTGGGGCGTTATTAACGCTCGGCAAACGCCTAGCAACTGCCGCTAAACCGCGCATGCGGCGTTTGCGGAGCGTTTGCCGAGCGTTAAAAAACGCTCCGCAAACACCGGACCAACGCTTGCCAAACGCTATAGGGGAGTTTGGCAAGCGTTGGCAAAACAGTCTAGTGTGAACGAGCCCTAATAGTGACAGACAGCAGTAAAAATCTAATAGGTGTTCTGATACCTCTACATACCATCCAAAACTAAAAGCTTTTTTTCCCTTTTGTTATACTTTAAGATTTGTTTTACCCTTAGGTGTGAAGGGGTTTATTTTGTATTTACTTAAAGCCCAATTTTCCAACTTTGTTAGCAAAACCGTACATAATCACAACTACTTTGTGCATCCAAGTGGATTATACCTTGTTTTTTTTTTTTCAGGACAAATTGGGCTTTCATTTGGTGGTAAATGGTAAACACCAACAAGTCAAGTCTCTGAAAAGATATGTTTTAAAGAAAACCTTAGCTTCACCGATGGAATCATGTTACAAGAAGAGGAGAGAAGTATCAGGTATTTTCTTTAAATAAAATGAATGTGCTTGTGAGCCACCAGGATATACAAAAAAATATATATATATAGTGGATCGCCGGTTTTGCTGCCCACTCTCCCTGGATGTGCGTTTGTTAACCAATAATCAAATTATAACCACGCTCCAAATTTAAAAAAAAAAGTGCTTTGTGCTTATAATAAAAGAATAAAAATATAAGATAATCACCAATGCTAAATTAATTGATATATCACTGTGCAAAATAAAATCACTAATAGATCAGTGCACCTAGTGTTGATACATGCAAAAAAAAAAAAAAAAAAAAATATATATATATATATATATATATATATATATATATATATATATATATATATATATATATATATAAACAAATATTATAAATTAATAAGGAATAATCAATATTGAATCATAATCAAAGTTCCAATTTCAAAAAGTACTGAAATGTTCCAACCAAATTAGATGACACTCTCCTTCCAATGAACGGTATACTTCAATCTTGCAGCTTTGCAATTAGCCTGTGTGCTTGTGAGGGATGATCCCTCCTTTGATCCACTCCTTGCTACAATCACTGAATGCTCCTTGCCAAGATCATGTAAAAAAGAGAGAAGATCCCTGAATGGCACTATTTCTTCTCTCTTTTTTTTACATGATCTTTTTTTTTTTGCATGTATCAACACTAGGTGCACCGATCTATTAGTGATTTTATTTTGCACAGTGATATATCAATTAATTTAGCATTGAGGTATTTTCTTTGCTCCCCCTCAACTGAACAGAGTGGAGGAGAGAAAGGTGAGTATGTTCTGCTAAGCCCCACTGAAGCCTTTAATCAACTAAACTGGTCGAAGCATGTACCCTGCCACCACCAAGATGACAGTACTTGGGCCAATCTCCAAAGCTCCAACACTGTCACATGAAGAAGGGCAGCAACAGTCTGCTGGGTCAGTTCAGACACCATTTCTTGCCCAGGGCAGACTCCTGCAGTGAGGAGGTGGTGATTAACCGTTTCAATACCGTGTGATTTTACCCCTTCCTGCCCAGGCCATTTTTCAGGTTTCAGCGCTCTCACACTTTGAATGACAATTGCACGGTCATACAACATTGTACCCAAACTAAAATTTTATCATTTTCTTCACACAACTAGAGCTTTCTTTTGGTGGTATTTAATCACCGCCGGGGTTTTTATTTTTTGCTAAGTTAACAAAAAAAGACCAAAAATTTTGAAAAAAAAAATTTTTCTTTGTTTCTGTTATAAAAGTTTACAAATAAATAATTGTTATTCATAAATTTAGGCCGAGATGTATTCTGCTACATGTCTTTGGTGAAAATAACCCATATTAGGATGTATTTTTTAGTTTGTAGGAAAGTTATAGAGTTCACAAACTATGGTATAGATCTGAATATTGATCAATCCTGAAGTACTGACAGCCAATCTAATTTCTTGAGGTCCAAGAATGTCAGAATAGTACAGATATCCCCAAATGACCCCTTTTTGCAGAGTAGACAGTCCGACGTACTTCATAAGAGGCATGGCGAGTTTTTTGAAGTTGTATTTTTTTGTCATAATTTTTCGGAAAATGAAAAAAATTAAAAAAATTAATTTTCACTATTTTTTTTTTTTTTACATACGGTCACCAGTGCAGTACAGCGTCTTCATATAACTGGCATGGCGGTGAACATGGACACTGACTGGTGACAGTATGAAAAAAAAAAAAAAAAAAAAATAAAATATATATATATATATATATATATATATATATATATATATATATATATATATATATATATATATATATATATATATATATATATATATATATATATATATTTTTTTTTTTTTTTTTATTATATTTAATTTTTTATTACATTTTTTTAAAGATTTTTTTTCATATTTTACTATGACCAAAGTAGTACAATGTTACCATAGTAACATTGTACTACTTTGGGGGAGTGATCAGTATTTTTTTTTTTTTTTTTTTTTATACACAGTTTGCTTATAGCAAAGAATTACTTTGCTATAAGCAAGCATTTAGCTGAATGAAATCGATTCATTGTTTTTTGTTTTTTTTTTTTTTTTTTTGTGCTTAGCTGTGATTTGGTCACAGCTAATCACATGACATGTGCATGTGACCTGCTGTGACCATTCACAGCTAGGCACTAGTATACAATGGATGGCATCATGAATGAAGCCATCCATTGTATACAACTATCATGTGACCTGCTGTGATTGGTCACAGCAGGTCACATGTTACCAGCTACGGGAGCCGGTACTCGGATCTGTCATCGGCCGTGTCCGAGGTGCACGGCCCGTGACAGATCCCGCTGCTGCGCCGCTCTGCTGTGCCGCAAACTGCGCATGTGCGGGAGCACGCCAAATGGCGTGCACCCGGAATACAGGAGCGCATTTGAAGCCGCCAAACGGCCATTGGCCGGGCGGCTAATGGTTAAGCAATGTGTCGCAAGTACAACTTGGTGAGTGGGGGCCAATAAACGAATAGTTACTTTGTAGTTGTAAATTTCTCGAATACATGCACATTCCACCATGCTTTCTCTCTTTAAAGCCCAACTTCAGGCTCGCCCCAACAGATTTAGTACATGGAGTATTCTCACAATAGGGCAGGAAATCTGTTACGGACAGGATCACAGGTGAAAATAAAAGAAACTAAAACGCAGCTACCATATACACACGAACATCCATTACTTTATGACCACTAGCAGCTTAAGTGAATAACCCTGATAATCTTGTTACAATGGCATCTGTCAATTGCTGGGTTATATTAGGTAGCAAGTAAGCATGTTGTCCCTGAAGTTGATGTGTATAGAGCTCTATAGTTACAGACCAAATTGTCACACAACAGTCAGGGTGCCCATACCGATCTGTATCCACAGTCAAAAGCTTCTTTAACGGGAACTTAATCATCAGAACTGGACCACGGAGCAATGGAAGGTGGCGGCCTGGTCTGATAAATTATGTTTTCTTTTACATCATGTGGATGACTGGGTTTGTGCAAATGTCGCTTATTTGATGAAGAGATGGCACCACGATGCAGTATATAATGAAGGCAAGCCGCCGGAGGCCGTGTCATGCTTTGGGAAATGTTCTGCTAGGAAACCTTGGGTCCTGCCATTCATGTGAATGTTACTTTGATAAGTAACCCCTACCCAAGCATTGTTGCTAACCAAGTAATCGCCATTTGCGGAAACCGTATTCCCTGATGGCAGTGGCCACTTTCAGAATGACAATGCACCCTGCCACACTGTAAAAATGGCTCAAAGTAGTTTGAGGAACACAAGTTCAATGTACTGACTTTCAAATTCTGAGGATCTCAAGGAAAAATAAGTCCGATCCATGGAGGCCCCACCTCACAACTTACAGGAGTCAAAGGATCTGCTACTGCTAGCGATAGCTTGGCTGGCCAGATACCACAGCATACCTTCAGAGGTCTAGTGGAGTCTACGGCTCAGAGCTGTCTTGCTGGCAAAACTGGGACTTAATATTAAGCGGGTGGTCAAGATATGGCTGATTGGTGTAATCGCATCTTTGATCTTGGGTTTCACATGCTTTCATTTATTTTTTAAATACCAGACTGCAACATTATTTATATATGAAGATGTTACGTACATAGTCATCCTTATTGCAGATGATCTTTGCAAAGCACTGATTATTATCACGTCCTGGGACCGTCCATTCCAGAGGCCAGAACAACGTGTGGTAGACCTAATGATAAATTGATGTTATTTTTAGAGAAAAAAAAAAAAAAAAAAAAAAAAAAAAAAAAACACAAGAAAAACAGTTTTTCATAAAGGCTGCTAATTGCATCTTCGGCTTAATTTAGAACATAACACAATATGGTCACACAAAAAACAAAACTGGTCTAACTACTAAAGGAATATCTACAGAGCAGACCATTGAAAAAAAAAAAAAGAAAGGTGTTGCCCAAATAAAAAATTGCTGTAAAACCCTCTGTGCTATTAAACCTCTCTAATCAACACATGCATCTGGATGTTTTAAGTAATTATACCATACAAAGGATGGACTCAAAGGACGCATGATGTTTAAAAAAAAAAAGATAATTATACAATATAAAAAAAAGGTTCTCATGAATGTAACATTTGCAGCATAAGTGATCAAAAGAAAAAAAAGGAATATGGGAGGTTTATGAAGGACCTTCATAAATAGAAGGACTGAAACGCTTTTCTACCCTGCAGAAAATGTGGTTCATGGTCCAATCACATGATCACAAGCCTAGGCGCTGTCACACGATCTCTGCAGAAAGGATAAGATGAGCTAGTCTATTCCAATCATCTCCCTTCAGCTGTGATCACATGACCCAATGCTCTCTGGGGGGGAATTAGAAGTTAGAGGTAACCACGTTGGCCCAATTGAATGACTGGTATCCAACATCTGGGGGTCTCTTGGGGTTGCTAAAAGTCTCAGTTGTAATCCTTGCCTGATAACAGTGAGAGCGACAGAAGTCTGGAAGATCAAAGCTCAAAGTGCACCTTGTCCATTTAGAATATGTCTTGCATTTCTTTCAGTGAATACAAAGCATTTTGTGATGGGATGAGGGTATATGGTGACGTTCCATCTGCACCTTCTTTCCACTTTCTGCAGTCACAGAATGCCTTGTATTCACTGAAAGAAATTTTGTAAAGAAAAAAAGGTGAGCAGAGAGTGACTCCCTATCATCCCTATATGAGAAAAATCGCAGGAGCAATCAAAGCTCACACCGTATCTGAAATGGAATACAACTAAAAAATGTTAGCATCCCCATCAGCCTCTACACATTAGATATCAATCGGATATAACTAGACTGGCCCAATGTAATATCAAAAAATTGATTCCCCCCCCGGAGTTCCACTTTAAAAGTTTTTCATTATATGACCAGCACTGAAGGGAGTCCAGAGCAGCCTTTTAGAGGAAAGGATATGAGCTCTCGAATTATCCCAACATAATCTTAGTTAAAAGCTAGCCTGTTTTTTTTTTTTTTTTTTTTTTTTTTTAATGGAGCAGTTTTAAGGCAATATCAATGATGTGACCGAACGAACCCGATCATTAGTTAACTTTCCCCAAATGATCCAAAGAACAACTTCATTCTACACTAAAAAACACAATTTGAAAGTCAGTTTAAATCTTGAAATAAAATCCAAAAACAAAATAGTGAGCAGACAGGGATTGCACTGGGAAGCCAAACTTGCCTCCAGATTTTCCGCTCCAAAGGCCTCGATGGCCTTCTCCTCTGAATATCCACAGCAACCATACTCCATTGGAGTAAACACGGTGGTTGGTACGTTGATATAATCACACTATCAAAAAGGGAAAAAACAATTAGTAGATGGCATTGCTTTATACTGCAAACCACACACTCAATCCACCAAGCATAGCATATAGCATTGCTATATGACCAATAAGACTCTCATGCCCTCTGTGACTGGTGGACAGGGACTAAAAGTACATGGAGATCATGGCATATATAGAATATGTACATTATATTCCATATACTTGGCTGATGCCCCAGGAAACTGGATACCACTGTAGTAGACACCACTACTCCAGGGACTGCCACTTGCTCTTGGGTCCCACACTGAGTGGCTGCTCTCCTGCATTGTGCTCACTCGAGGCGGGCACAGACACCATTCAGAAAAAGATTATCAAAAATTGAAGAGCATGATATCATCACCCGCCTCTCCACCTCATTAATCAGCAAATGCTTTGAATTAATTCAGAAAATGCAAAGCATTCTCTGAATGGCATCCATGCCGAGTGGCTGACCTCCTGTGTTCAGTAAGCAGAGGTGCAGCCGCTCGACAGGAGACCCGAAAGCAGAAGTGGAGAGCACTGGAGCCTACATCAGTGATCTCCAGCTTCCAGGGGCATCAGCCAGATAAGGTAAAAGCATAGTTACTTTGGTCCAAGTTGGACCATTGTTATTCTGTATAACATACCCATGACGTTTTGATGGGCAAATGCATGTTTTTGACAGGATGTGATCCGTCACACTTGTACCTCCTCTCGAGACTGGATGCGAGATTTCCCCACCCGTAGTTCAGAATGTGGGAGCAGGTGTCTGTGCACCATTCAGAAATGTAGACTCGGCCAAGACAAAAACGGATGAGACGCCACTCAGACCAAACTGGTGATGTCGTAGTGTGTAGCCTCAGCAAACTCCGCTCTAGCCACACCTGCTGACACGCTTTGCCCCACCTACTGTGGCCTGGACACAGCTCTCTTGCCAAAGGAGTATGCATGCCTGCTGTTGGCATTGCACACGCTCAGAAACATGTCGCTTCCGGTGACATCACACCTGGGCTGCACTTCACTGCTTTCCGGATGTGGAAGATCTTGGTCATCTTTGACAGCTGTATACACCCTGACCCCACAGCACTTCTCTGCTGAGAGTCTGACAATCTTGCTCTGTATGGCACCAGCGATCTGCTGCTCGCTGGTGCAATGCTTTACGGGCTCCTGCAACAAAACAATAAATGCACATTTTTTAGCCTGAAAAAAAAAAAAAAAAAAAAAAAAAGTGCATTTATTATTTGTCAAAAGGTGAACTTATACTTTGTCCCCTACCATTCCTCTTCCTTCGACAAGGGGACAAAGCAAAGAGCATCCTTCCTGTTTTGATAATTAAATTAACCACGCTAGCTAATCATTTATTTGTGATGGCCTGTGTTCAACTCTAGCACCAGGCACTTGTACAAGAACAGTGCCATCACCAATAATGCAGGGGGAGGGGTGTTTATCTGTCCAAGACTTTCACACCATAAAAAAACACAAAACAGCAGAGGGAGCAGTTTGCAGGGAGAGGTGGTGTGTCAGTGCAAGTCTGCAAGGGGCCAGTAGCAAATGGACCTATACAAAAAAAAAAAAAAAAAACCCACTAAAAAGACAGATTTAATTTTCTTAATTGGTCATAATTTCTTTTCTGAGCAGAGATGATTTATAGACTCAAACCAGTAGGTATACTTTTAATCCTAAGGAGAGGGGCGGCACAGTGGCTTAGTGGTTAGCACGTCTGCCTTGCAGTAAATAGGTCTTAGGTTCGATTCCCAACCATGGCACCTCCTGCATGGAGTTCGCATGTTCTCCCTGTGCTTGCGTGGGTTTCCTCCGGGTGCTCCGGTTTCCTCCCACCCTCCAAAGACATGCTGGTAGGTTAATAGGATCCTGTCTAAATTGGCCTCGATATATGTATGTATGAATGAGTTAGGGACCTTAGATTGTACACCCCTTGAGGGTTAGGGACTGATGTGAATGTACAATATATATGTAAAGCGCTACGTAAATTGACAGCGCTATAGAAGTACCTGAAATAAATAAATAAGTGAATACTATGGATAGTGTTCAAGTCGATTCCTTAGACCCCCCCCCCAAGCATTCACACCTTTACATTGGAGTCTCCATACAGTCTCCTTGCAAGAAGACGCCCTGCTTGGATTGCCACTGGCGTCAACTCCCACTTTCCATCCAGGATATCTCCAATGGCATACACGTAAGGCACGTTGGTTTGCTCTTCATCATTTACTGGAATCTTACCATTTCTTGAGGAAAAAAAAAACAAAAAAAAAGTGTGAGGTTAGTGAAGTCATTTTGCAAGTCTATTACTCATAAAAAAAAAAAAAAAAAAAAAAAAAGGAACAGAATCACACACACAGAATTTATATGTGGGTTTCCTACATAAATCAAGTGTGTACGAGTTACAGATGACTGTACCAGAGACTGAATGATACTTTGTTCTGACTGTAACACACACACACACACACACACACACACACACACACACGGACAGACATGTCATGTCTGCAACAAAAGTCTGCTTTAATTCAGTTATTTGCCATCTGGAGAAAACAGCTCAGTTAAAAAAAAAAACTCAATATTTTCTGCTAAAGCTAAAGGCTTTTATTTTTAGTAATGTGGTTGTAAACCACTAACATGAAGTGTGAACAAAGCACATATTTCTATAGTTTACTTGCCTATATCCAAAGCACCGAGTGTCATTTTTCTCTGCTATCAGCTCTGCATTGTTTGGATGGAAGGGACACACACCCTCCTCACAGCACACAAGCAGGGTTTTTTTTTTTTTTTTAAATTTAACTTTGTCATCACAAGGGTTGAACATCCCCCTTGTGATAACTTGGGCAGTGACATGAACTTATTGAGATATCAGGAGCCTGTAAGATCCCCTGATCCCCCCAATGCAGCTGATCAGTACGAGCAGATGCTTGTCTGGCTGGTAACAGCCAGTAAAGAAAAAGAAAACTGAAGTGAAGAAATCCTCATCACTTCCAGGATCATTAATCAGAGGAAGGAGGGGAACAGATGTTGGAAAAAAAATATTAATATGAATAATAATAATAATAATAATAATAATAATAATAATGTGATCACCCTCTCAAAAAAAAAAAAAAAAAAAAAAAAAAAAAAAGGACAAAGCTCATCATAATTTTCCAAGCACAGAACACGGCCTGAACCGATATGCATTCTTGGATGGTGAATATGACAACCTCTTTCTCTCTGGAAAGAGAATTGGACCTGGAAATAGTGAGAATGCAGCCAAATTTTTGAGCACCACAACTGAGCGCAGGAGGTTATTTATTTAGTTTTGTAACTTTTCAAACAATAAGACCTACCTTTCTTTTATTTTTAACTCCGATTCTCTCCAAGCCAATTTTTCTGGTGCAGGAGTCTCTGCCTACAGCAACCAGTACCTGCAAGAATATTTATTATACAATAAACAATGAAAGAGTAAAATATATGAATGTCTGGAGCACAGACTAACTCTGGAAGATCACTTACAGTATTATATTCCCCTTCGATGACCTGATCGCTTTCAGTAGATTTGGCAATGACTTTGAGCCTTCCTGGAGTTCCGGGCTCCAGTTGCTCTACCTGTAGAGATCAGTTAGGTTAATACCACTGAAATGTGACAGTCCACCCTAAATCATACAATATTTAAAGTAGAACTCCACCTAATTTGTTTCTAGAGATCCTCTGCAAAAAAAAAAAAAAACAAAAACCTTTCAAGTTCTACACATTCCAGAAACACCTACTACCTGTTTGGTCCAATACCGCCAGCTTTCTTTGGACAGAGAAGCACCAGCGTCAATCTTCAGGAAGCATACATCCAGGGCTGATCACTCTCAGGTGATGATCACATGCAAGTGGTTGCAGGATCAGGCAGCCTCCTACTGCTTTTACGCATGCTGCCCCCAGAGCTAATCGCTGGCATGTAATTCGGTTGCATATAAATCGCTGTTGGGCGCATTCACAGGCATCCTAAATCACTTTAACGAGCAATCCATAATACAGAGTGGCCTTATTTTATTTCTAGGGCAGGGATGCTAAATGCACGCAGCTTTGTAGCAAGTGTTTTCACAATTTCTGAACAAGTATAGAAACAAAGAATCCAAAACCTTGTTCTACAGCTGTGAACAACTGAACAGTCAATGATGAGTTAATATACGGTGCTTTTCTTTAATGTCTCTTCCCTCCTGTCATTCACAGGAGGGGAGAGAGCTAACTGCAGGAGTGGGTGACAAACCCCTGCCATCATGCAACTGTGCTAGGACCTAGCAATTCGCTATTATGCCCAAGCACTGCCACATAGGAGGTCACATGCTCCCCCATTCCCTAAAGCCCTGAGCATATTTCAGCAGCAGCCCCAGAAGGCCGAGCCATGTTGGAGCACCAGAGATGAGAGTAATAGCTGGTCCAGAGGTGGACTTTGCACTAGGCATGCACTGAAATTTCAGCAGCCAGAAACATATCAGACAAAAAGCCCTATCGGCATTTTGCTGAATGCCGATAAAAAAATTTTAGCCAATACAGGTGCCAATAACAGGAGAGTTGTGCGTACTGCAGGCAGATGTGGGGGGGGGGGGCATTTAAAGGCAGGAGATGAGCAGTATATACAGAGAGCTACCGCTAAACGTCACAGCTGGTTTTTAAAATGTAAAAAAAATTTTTTTCCCCCCCCCCCCCCTCGCTAAAGCTGCAAGGAGCTGTCATTTTCCCCGCAGCTAAAAGGAAACATAGGGGCAGGTCAGTGGGTAACCCTGCCCCCTTGTTTCCCTCAGCTGCAGGGAGAATGTCAGCTCCTTCTTGGAGCCATCGTGAAAGAGGAGAAATAAATAAAAAAAGGGACAGTAACTACATTTAAAAACCGGCATTGACATAGCGGCAGCCAGTGAGGGGCCTGAGTGTATACATTGCTCCCTCACTGTATACACTGCTCCTCTCCTGCCCCCTCCCCCCTGCAAAGAGGATCTGTCACTCATATACTATCAAATATAGGACTACTGGTACCCTGTGATAGCAATAAAATAATAAAGTTAAAATAAATACAAACATTAATATAACATATATAACATTAAACATTACAAATACTACACATTAAAATAAATTTAAAAATACAAAAAAAATTTGAGCCTCCCCACCCCAACATATTTCGGTTTTAGCCACGTGCAATCTGAATTTTCGGTATCGGTTTTGGCAGCAGAATTTTCATGTCGGTGCACCACTACTTTTGCAATGAATGGGCCAGGTAACAGGGCCCCTTAAACAAACATCCTGGCTGGAGTTGGGTTTTTATTTAAGAAATACAAATCATTTAAAAAGTGAAAACACAAGGAACAGTTTACATTCACACAAGCAGAGAATTGTAGCAGTCTGTACAGAAGGTTAAAATTTCTTACAGAAGTTGGTACAAATTTCTTGAGGAACTTCACTCCATGCGTTTCCATGTAAGTGCCGGCTTTCTCTGCCATCTCCTGGTCAAAGCCACGGAGGAATATAGATCGCACCATGACAGTCACATCCAGACCTATACCCGCCAGAAAACCGGCACATTCCAATGCCACGTATGAGGCACCAACCACGAGTGTTTTCCCAGGGCAGTATGACAGGGAGAAAAGGTCATCGCTGTGAGGAGAGAAGAGAGGGTTTTTTTTGTTTTTTAAAAACACAACATAACCGAGAATCATTTTGTAACCAAGTAAAAAAAACAAAATGTACCCTTTTGGCCATACTTCTCTAATGGATCGCAGGAGCGAACTTGCACTCTAGTGTGACCCAGAACAAGCAAAAGCCTACTGTCAGTTGACATCACAGTGTTGCTCCAGGCTCAGAAGGATCCCGACCATAATGTTGGGATCTACCCAGCTGCTTGATTGACAGCTGGTTCCAGCTCTCATTGTGAAGGCGAGAACCTAAGCAAGCTGCACCTGCCCCCCTCCCCAGCCCCATGCCCCATGCCCCGTAAGCACAGGGGGCAGAGCAGAGAGCTGTGACTGGTGGACACCACTCAGAGCTGACCCAAGACTGAGCAATCAGCAGGCATGTGGTCACTCAGTTTTTTTCATTTTCAAGCCAATGGAGGACAGCTACAGCATAGAGGGGAGTATGGATGATTGTTTATAGAACCCCACAAGAGCCATTAAAACCTAACCTTCCAATTTTCACTTCCTTGTAGTCACAGACTACATAATATCCATACAAATCTCCTTTATCACTCATGCAACTGGTTCAGTTTCTCAGAAATTGAAGTAAAACTTCAGGCACCACCAGCATGGTCCTTAGGCCCCTGGCTAGCTGCAGTGCATCCCCCCTCCTAACATTTTAGGGCACCCGGGAGGGACAGGTGCCGCATACAACCCCACTGCTTGTGGTCTGTCAAAGTCAATTGTAGGTTGCAGACATCTTGGGGTTCCTGCTGTACCAAGTGATACTCGAGTTTACAGCCCTAGGTGTTCAAAAGACCTGCGTTTGGGCATTTATTCTTGAAATCATAGATCAATTGAAATTTCCACTCTGTACTGCACTCAGCCTAGTTCAGCCAGCCAGCAGTGGGACTGGGCACTGCACTTGTCCTTCCGGGGCGCAGTGAAATGCCGGGAGGGATGCCGATGATTAGTGTAATATACAGTATGAGATATCAGTTTAGTTTGTAAACTCTAGAAAAACAGATAAGCGATGGGAAATTAAAATTTTATACATGCAGTTAGTTGACGGAAAAATTTTTAAAACAAGCCTAATGGTTTTAGTGAAGCATCTCACAAAAAACAAAAACACACACACACACACACACACAGGAAAAAGAAAAAAAAAAAAAAAAATGAGAAAAGCAAGAAGAAAAAAAAGGAGTAGAAAAAAAAGGAGAAGAAAAAAGAAAAAAAAGAAAGAAAAAAGAAGAAAAAGAGAAGAAAGAAAAAAGAAGAAAAAGAGAAGAAAAAAAAAGAGAAAAGGAAGAAGAAAAAAAAAGTGAAAGAAAAATCATTGTAATATTCAAATCTTTATTAGATTTCACTCTGGAAGGATGAACACATGGAAGCTGTTTATACAATTCTTAATATGGTGGGGGTCACATTCTGAACAACTGTTGATAGCCCATTGGATAGAGTAGTGTGCACCTTCCTTTACGTTTCTGACTGAAATTACATATACTCAGTGGCACTAGATTAAAATCGGTCTCCATTAATATCTGGTAACAACAGACTACTGTCAGCTCCTGTGGGGTGTTCCTGTGCTCACCCCCTGGGGCCCTGTTTGACATGTGTTACATCCCTTCCTAGGGGGGCCGTTTAGCAGGAAAGGCCATTATTCCAACTGCTAACTCCCTGAAATCGTCCTGAGGAAGTATAGCCTATGAATCTCATTGAGGCATATAAGGACCCCATATATACACACACACACCGCTGTAAAATGGATAAAAGAAAGAAGAAAAAAAAAAAAAAAAAAAAAAAAAAACATACCCGACAAGAGTATTGACTATATAGGGCAGCCTTTCTCAATACAGAGGAACCCTTGACATAACTTTCTGGTCTCAGGGAACCCCTGCTAAAATTACCATCTACAATTCATGATACATTAGTGTGACAAAAGGTAAGAATGCTCCTTATACTTGTGGTCACTGGAAGAATTATCTCCTTACAGATTGCTAAAAAGATACTCTCTCAGTGGGGAACTTACCCGAGAGGCAAAAAATCGCTCAAAGAACCCCTGACAATCTCTGTAGGAACCCTAGGGTTCTACAGAACCCTGGCTGAGAAACCCTGATATAGGATGTCCAACACTAAGTCAGGGACTTTACAGATGGGCGAGATCAATGTTGATATAGAGATATTATAATATATATATATATAATATATATAATTAAGTTATGTATTTTGTATTTATGGTGTATACCCATCTGCATGCATACTTTAACACACATTCCTATCAATACGATTTTATTTTACATTTGTTCTTGTAGCCCTGCAGACAGGAGATTGTTTTGGCACCCAAACGAACACACATTGGCTGCTTTTATATGACCTATTATTATACAGGACTTCTATAGTGCCAAGTTTGTTGCCGATAATTAACCACTTCCAACCCTTAGGATGTACCTATATGTCCCCAGGTGAGAGCGGCTATACCAGGATCATGGCTGCAGCATGTAATGTTTGGGGATTCCAAGTAAATTGTCTAGCAAAAAAAAAAAAAAAAAAAAAAAAAAAAAAAAAAAAAAGCAGCTGATTTTATGTGAAAAACTTCAAAAATTGATCTGTGCAGAAATTGGTAAAAGTTCCTTTAGATTCTCTCATCTTGTTTTTCTGTCTGGCACTCTTTTCTGTATTAGTTTGTGGCTGGAATCTCAGAGGATTATTTCCATAATGAGGTTAAAGCTAATGAACACTGGCCATTTCATAAATTAAATGATACAAGAGTATTGGTTTTCATACTCGACAAACCACAATAGATCTGTTCAGGATACCTGGCAATAGAAAAATGGAAGCCAATATTTAGTTGCAGGGACGAACAGTAATTTTGCTCTAGGTTAAAAATCTAAAACATTCACGCTGCGCTCCATGGATCGTTCTGCCCTCCAGTGATCTGGACGAGAGTGGGCGGCCTGTCTCCTGTATCACAGCTTGTGTCAACCTTCCTGCTTGCGGACCCTGGGTGTTGGTCAGCTGATGTCTACCAGGTTTATGAGCCTTACTTCTTTTGTACCAAATGTGAATGGCTTTTTTTTTTTTACTGTGCCAATACATTGTTTTTAAAAAAGGTACTACACTTGGGAGGCACTTTTCCAGCTTTTATTTCCCCACAGGGAAACCGCATGTGATTTGGACAGAAATCGCACCGCATTCCTGCTGAAATTGCATGCAATTCTTTTTCATTCATTTTCAAGGGGCTCAAATCGCACAGCAAGAGTATTGGTATTTGGTATCGGCGAGTACTTGGCTGAAAGAATCGTTACTCGTACTTGCCAGTAAAAAAAACAGTATCGGTGCAACTTTAATTCTGACATTCAACAAAGAGCAGAGCTGTGCAAGTCTCATCTCAGGAATGGATGGTCAGAAATACAATCCTTTGACAGGTAAAAAACAGCCCACTTCTATGTATTCCATCTGTGTATTGTAATATCAGTATCATTTTGACATTTTACTAGGGATTAACATGTTTGAAATTAAGTCTCCATCTTGTTCCATGGCAGATGACAAGGTGAAACTATTGTTCTAAAAAAAGTCTCTAACCACTGAAGATATATACATTTGATTGAAAAGCAAGGCCAGACTTCTAGCAATGTTTGATCTAATGTTTTCTCAAACATAATAGGGACAATTGCTAATATGTGCTAATAGTTTTATAGTACATAAATAGCAAATGCTACCCAGTGGTCTCTTGCAAAACACTGCTTGATGAAACAAAAGTCACTTGTTCAAAGAGGAGCTCCAGTCAAACTGGTATTTAGTAAAAAAAGTCAGCAGCTACAAAGACAGACACTTACCTGTCTCAGGATCCAGCGATGTGCTCACCTGAGCTGTTCTTTACACTGCGGTCCTGTTCCAGCTCAGCATCTCAACTGTGGGCACCTGGCTGTGACAACTTGATTTACAGCTGGGTGCCCACTGAGCATGTGCGAGCTGCTCTGCACTTTGTGTATCAGATCTGTCACATGTCCCAGAAGACTGTGGGGAGGGAGGGCAGAAGAACTTCTGATGTGATCGCCTAGGCTAGCAGAAGTGGGAGCGGGTACTTGTCAAAGCCAGGTACCCGCTCCCCCACCCCAACAAAAAAAATGCCATTAAGAGGAGGGGGAAGGAAGCCTTGAAGCAAAAACATAAAGGAGTTAAAAAGGAGGCCTTAAAGAAGTGCTCCGCATTAATACAGCAATCAAGACTGAATGTTGTTAAACAGATAAATACTAGATGCTTTGATATCCATTATCTCTTGACTGATGGGCGATTTCTAAAGAATAGCTTCTCTAAGAACAGGACTCTAAAACTTCTATGATAGTATAGAATTCAGTTCTAATGAGTACTTTTCCTAGATTGTAAGCTCCAAGGAGCAGGGCCCTTGAACCCCTCGTGTTTTGTCTTGTTACTGTATTGTCTCATGTTCTGTCCCCCACTATAATGTACAGCGCTCAGCAAACCTTTTAGCGCTATATAAATACTGTATAATAATAAATAATAATACTTAAGGCTGAACTCTGGGAACATTTTCCCCCCATGCGGTAAAGCTGTGCCCGCGCTGCACAGTTTAACAGCTTTTTTTCCTAGAGGAGAGAAGAACAAGGATATACTTACCTGATCCTCCCAGCACAAGACCAGTCCGGCATGCCCACACCAGCAGTCTTGAATAGTGGACTGTTCCTGACGTCATCACGCCCAGAGTAGGCTCCACAGACCAGGAACAGTCCACTGCTGGACCATGGGGAGCGCAGTTTTCGGAAGGATCTAAAGATAGGGGCGAGTATGCACTTTCTGCTCACCCCAAGAGACAGACGGTTTCAATCTAATCCACATTGAAATAGTAAGAGCAAACAAGCCTGCAAAATCTGTAAGCGAGCTGGATAAAGCAGCTCTATAGTTTGGCTATAACCAGTGCTGTGGGTGCTATTTTTCCTTTTTACTGGAAAATAAAATGTTGCTGCAGTAAGTATAGTCTCACTTTAAGCTACATGACCTCTCTCTCTCTACAGCACATCCCAGCTTTCTATTATGAGACAATAAAGTGAATAAAAGGAGTGTTGGGCAGCATGGGACAAACTACTGCAGAGAAAGTTAGAAGGGCATCATCAGAATTTCACACAGGGGAAACCAGGTTTTTGGTACAGATGTGAAGATGTCATTTTTGGATACCTTCTATTTTTATAAAAGGAAAAAGTTACTTCATAGCACTTTAGTAAAAGGCTTTCTGGTTCCACACCTGACTGGTTGTACAGTCTCCAATGACCCAATCAATGTTCTATGTACAGAACACAATGTGTGACATGTTCACGTCCCTTTTATGTAACCAGCTCCTAGCAAGCAGCTCTTAGCAAGACTACAATCTCAAATATTAATGAAGATCACAAGATAGTTTTTTTTATGAATGCATCATCTGATCATATTGTTTGCAGTAAAGCAATACGCCTTCTTGCCATACAGCAGACACATGACATTCATTTGATTTAATCATAGGTGCCTGACCAGGATTCATTTATATGCAAAGTTATGCAATCTTGTAAGTTATGAAGCAAGGTAGAGAGTGGTTTTATTTCTTTCTGCCTGTCATGCTGATCCTTCAGCTTTAATCCTTTGAGCCAGAGCATTGTGAATTCACTTGCTGCATCTTTGTCCTGGGTCAGCTCAAAAACACAGAAGCCAGAGCATAACCATGACAAACAGAATTCTCAGGACATGACTTACAGCAATAGATGTTGTTTAGTCATGCCAGCTAGATAATGACTTTACAGAAATACATTTCTAAGTTCCCTTTTACAAAAATGGATGTTTGTGACATTAACAGGAAACAAAACACTTGTCAAAGCTGAACGCCAGGATCAGCAAATATGGTCTACCTACAAGAGTCATGTATTTTAAATCTTGGTGCGCTTTGTGTTCTTCTTTCGTTATGTGCAGTAATCCAGTGGGAGACTTTAGCTTCCTGTAGTAAAGACCGCTCACTGCTGCTCTCTCCTTGTGCAGGGTGACTGGTCTTGTCTCCCGCCCCCTCCTTTAGTTTTCTGAAAGCAGCCTGTAGAGGGTGGAGCCTCCTGAGCCATTCCCACAGCTCAGCGATGTCACTGCTACTCTAACAATGGTCTCCAAGGGCATTTGATGAACACAAATTGGATATAGATCCTTTGAGGCTATTGAATATATGTGACTTAGTTTTATGTACTGGAGTTCTGCTTTAAAGTGGTTGTAAACATCAGACATGAAAATCTGAACAAAGTATCTCTCTCTCTCTAGTGTGTACTTGCCTCAATTAAGGGCACCGAGTGTCATTTCTGTCTGTTGCGTCACGCTATCTGCATGATTTCTGACAGGTATTCCTGACACACAAGAGAAAAATGGTGACTGGAATTACCACCAGCAGGCTGACAACCTCAGCTCTGCGGAGGGGTGTGTACCTACCCTCCAATCAGCTCTCTGAGCTCTGCAGTGTGTAGCTTCAGCTCAGACAAGCTTTATAAATTCTACACTTTGAACAGATGTAGAGAAGAGAATACTGCAGATCAACAGGTACAACTTATGCAGGATGATTGGTTTCACGTCTGTATCACCGGAGGCCAGTCACATTAACCAAGTATATTTAACCACTTGCCTACTGGGCACTTTTACCCCCTTCATGCCTAGGCCATTTTTCAGCTTTCAGTGCTGTCACACTTTGAAAGGCAATTGGGCAGTCATGCAACACTGTACACATATGAAATTTGTAATTTTTTTTCACATATAGAGCTTTATTTTGGTGGTATTTAATCGCAAAAAGAATGAGAAAAAGGAAGTGCTGATAATCCCAGAGGAGCAGGGGGAATGTATGCCCTATGTTAAAGGAGTAACAGCAGGGGTCGTAAGGTTTGTGGCAGTCCACAGGAACAGGTGAGCTTGGTGACAGGTAGGCGAGCTTGGTGACATTGATGCAGATTCACAGGCATTGTTAGTGGCTGTAGGACGTGCAGCTCCTGTATATGTCAAATATGGGTAACATGCAAGGATTCAGCCAAGTCTTTCTACATGTATGGAAACTTAACTACACGTGTGTCAGGAACACGGCAGTCTTGGCTTCGCTTCAACACTCTCTCACCCAGTATGTGGCCACCTCAAGGTGTCTCTTGCAGCTGGGTGCCCTGGCGGCCACAATCCTACCAACACTGATTTATTTTGCATTTCCAGATTTACGGCGTTTACATTTTTTAGAAGAAGGTTTTAAAAGAATTTTCCAAGCCCTGTCCTCATTAATTTTGAGAACCCCTGATCTAAGACAATATGGTCTCTGAAGGCTAGGTTTGGAGATTTCACTACTGTGCTGTTCTCCTTGCTGAAGACCAAGTGGTTCCTGAGGACCAGCAATGCAAGGATCTCCTTGTTAGTTTCATCCATTCTGTGGATCTGTTTCCTCCACCTCCCTTGCTACTATATAATTTTTACCCCAGCAGTTTTTAGGAGAGCAACTTTGACATAAAGAAGCAAGACCATGTCCTTACCAAGATGGCGGCCACCACCACACAGATACTGTGCACAAAGCACTGTAAACGCAGAAAAAAAAAACTGAGAAAGATCAGCTGCAGAAGTCTACAGGCAATAATGTTATCTAGTCCTTTGCACACGGATTGCTTTTTTGGGTACAGCTTACACAAGTACAGGTTCTTTTTTATTGATAAAGCTGCCTTTTTACATTGCAAAACAGTTGTAAAATTCCTTGAATAGCATTAGCAGTTCTCGCCCAGAGTACTTTGTATTCAAGTTGCTCACAAGAGTTCACCAAGTTCATTCCTACCATGAAGAAGGGTGAGGCCGCTGTGCAATAAAAACACGGGAAAACTGGCTTATACGGAATGTTACACAATCAGGCTTTTAATGCTGATGAGCATATACTCTGTCCTGACCATGAAACTGTCAGGCAACAGCAAAAGTCAGGAAAATTGTGCAAGGTCTATTAAGAGGCGTTGACAATCTGGAATGTAGCAACAGTACAAATACAAAGCAAGAAACAGGAAAGTTAGAAGGAAGAGATACACCTACCTGGTAATGCAGAATTCTTTATCTCCAGGGATGTCAAGGTATCGGGGCCTTTCACCAGTAGCCACAACAAACTTCCCTGCAGTGTAGAAACTCTCTTTTCCTTTCCTGTTTGTTGCCTAAAATGCCAGAAGTGTTAGACATTAAATGCTCAAGTTTTATCCGTCTACTAACCCTTTCACTGTCAGAGCCATATTTATTATTGCACACACACAGTAACATACACATTATAGGTCAAAGGATTACTTAAAGCCCCCGATACATTTTCTGAATGCAGAGGCCCTGTAGAATAGTTAGGAATGCAATGACCCCGATACCGGAGTATTTTCACGAGAAGTCTTACTTATGAAAATTACCCCCGATACCGGAAACTGATATTTTGCGGTGCGATCTGCGCCAATACAAATTCCACTGCAAAGATTTGCATGCAATTTGATCAGAAATGCGATTCCTGTCCAAATCGCATACGGTTTCCCCACTGCTTCTGTGTGAACCCAGGCATGTCATAGCAGTGTGGGGAACCTCCCTGCAGGCATCCCAAGCTGAACAAAGTGGGCGTGTGGGGGATGTGTACTATGGAGGCAGATGCTCAACATCAGGGGTGTCCAAACTATGGCCCTCCAGGTGTTGAGGAATTGCAAGTCCGATGAGGTCTTGAAAGACTGACACCCACAGGCAAGACACCCAGAGGCATGATGGGACTTGTAGTACTTTAACAGCTGAAAGGCAATAGTTTGGACACCCCTGCTCTATATTCTCAGCAGTAGGACAGGAGAGAAAGCAGAGGTGATTTGAAATTCCCACTGCTTTCTCTCCTCTCCTTGCAGGGACAACAGTACGGGCTAGAGGGCTTTTGATTGGACAGCACCTGCACAATCATCCCTGTAAGGAGGGGAGAGAAAGCGACGTTCTCTCCTCTACTACCACTGAGAATATGGAGCATCTGCCACCATATTATGCATCCCCACTCTCCACTGCGGGAAACCTCCCCGCACCGCTCCTGTGTGAACTATGACAGCTTGGGTTCACACAGGAGAAATGAGGAAACCGCATGCGATTTGAACAGGAATCGCATTCCTCTTCAAACTGTGGGGGGGGGGGAAAGAGGAGGGAGGATGGAGGAGGATATCTGTGCATCCCTAAAAAGAGTGGCAGCTGCAATTTTTGGCTTACAAGATAAATACACTATTGTCAAATCTTTATTTGCAGGAGATGCAATCTAGTGCCCAGAAACATAATATAATCTGCTTTGTAAAATATAAAAGACTAGGATATATCATGTTAATAGTTGTCCATAGGTGACGCTTTAAAAGCCTTTATAGTTCATCAATTTTGAGGTAAAGTAGTTGTAACCTTCATGAAGTGATTAGCCTCAGGGTAGAAATGAAATAAATCTTTCTACATATAGTACCCGTTTATCTGCAGCCCTCTGTTCTCTAGAGCCGTTCAAAGTGTACAGTTTACACAGCATTTCTGTGCTGCCAGTGGCAGAGGATCTGATGTCACACACTGGACAGTGTAGAGCAGGGAGCCGAGTGTAATTTGAGACCTGAGTTGAGGGACCGGAACCCCCCCCTTTACAATGTCTCATAGTAAAACATGCACAGCTGAGGCTGTCAATCACTTTTCTGTGTGCTGCAACCCCCTTCCTTGTCACCAGTTATTGCTTGGAGTTAGCACAGACTGTCAAACAGATATCAGAGAAAGGAGACAGCAGACAGAAAATCACAACAGGAGCTTTGGATTGAGGCGAGTACATACTTTATTCATTTATAATTTCAGAGGTTTACAACCACTTTAACAGTAAACGCCCTATAATTACTGCTCTCACTTCTGCATGCTCAGAAGAATCATTTCTACTAGAAAGCCCGCAGTAAAAAATGTAAAACTCTTGGCTGCTATAGCAGTTAGGACACGGTGTAGGCTGTGTAAACTTTCCTGTTTACATTGTACAGTGATGAGATAGCAAAATCAATAAGCTCATCATTAGGGCAGCATCTGGCAGACGCAGCAGTGATGGGAGATTTAGATCGATCTTCAAATACTTAAATGCTGGAGTGATAGAGGATGTAGAATAAATCCCTCTCTAAATTTTAAAAACATCAGTGGGTCATAGCAAAAAGTCTGTACGTGATCCTGTTAGTTTCTATACTGGTTATACTTTTCAAGTTCTTGCATAAAACACTTACACCAAAGACTTCTATGGGTCCATCTCCGATTTCAGGACTCAGCCCCATAGTTGTCTATGTGCACACTTGTCCAGGACAGTGAAGACTTCCACCACTGGATGTACACAACACCCATCCCATTGAAGTAAATATAAAATGGAGGGACGATCCTCTAAGACTACTTAAATACTCAAGATTACCTTAATTTTATGTGGTTCAACAAACTCTGCATATGCGTTTTCATAGCGGATATTCTTGTCTCGCAGAGACACTCTGTAGCCCCAATTCAAAGAGCCAATGTAGTCCTGAATATTCTCTCGCATTGTATCCCAGTTGTGATTCACTGCAGAAAAAGGAAAACAAAAAAACAAAAAAATGAAAAAAAAGCAAAAAACACAAACCTTATGTATAAAACTACCATTTTTGAAATGAAGTATAATTAAAGATTTGGAAAGCATGGTGAGGGTTAGGTGTCAGGTTTCCTTTGTTATTTGTGGTCATGTCTTACAGTCTGTTAGCTTTTCCAAAACTATACGAGTACAAACCTAATAAATTCAGTTTGCAGCAAGTTGGACAGGCCCTCTTACTACATACTGTAGTTGTTTGTAGACCTAAACAAGATAGTATATTGTAGGAGCACCTTTAGAATGAATCACTCCAATTGTTCTGATCAGCAATACCACAGAGAATGAAAGCGATGAAAAATCTAAAAAAAAATTGTGAAAAACTTTACACCAGTAGAGGAATAGAGGGAAAATCTTCCAATGCGGACACTTGTTCCAGCAACAACAGTCTAACAGGAGATTTCCCTCGCATTGGAAAGATACAAGGGTTGGACAAAAATTGTGGAAATACCAAGTAAAAGAACGAAATTGTTACTCAACATGGTGTTGGACTGCCTTTCAAAGACGGCCTGAATTCTAGGAACTTACAAATTCAAGTCTTGGATGGTGGATAATGGAATCTAATAAAAAGCAACATGAATTGAATTCGGTGATCAGTGAGCCCAAAGACTGAGTGGCACTTTCCGTTCACTGTATGTAATATAAACCACACAGGCAAGCCGCCTGGAGTACCTGCCACGATGGAAGAGCTGCTACTCGGTGTGGCGCACAGGGCCCGCTGTGGAAGCCAAGATGACGAGAGAGGCGGCGGCATGCTCCCTAAACACTTCGTCATAACCACCCAAACATGATTCCCTTTTCTTCTGTTAGAGCAACGTATCTTCCGTGTCGGCGGCTGGACTGACGCATGCGCAGTAGGCCCTATACACCACAGAGTAGCAGCTTTTCCATCATGATGGGTACTCTGGGTGGCTTGTCAGTGCTTCTTGGACACAGCCACCCATAGGGGACATATGTGGTGATGACCCAGGAGAGGCAAATGGGAACAATGTCTGTTGTGGCAGATCCTCTTCAACTTAATGTGAGTGCATAGGTTGGTGTGTTTTAATTGTCATTGAAAAGCATCACACGTGGGTGGGAGTGCGTGCTCTCTTTTCTTTTCATATGGAATCTGATCCCACTTTTCATGCAAAAAAATAGTTTCAGTTCTCACAGAGATGCCAGGAGGTGGAATACGAGCCCAAACCTTGTTCACTAAAATTGACCATAGTAGCTCTATGATCTGAGGTTCAGAGACTGTGGTGCCCAGGGAAGGTGCGAGACTGTCTGGCATTATCAAAATGTGATTTGATACGCATGCAGCTGTATGAATTGGAGCATTATGGCCTTGGTAAATTGTGGCGTCTTCAAGAAAAAAAAAAAAAAAAAAAAAAAGTGTCCATGGGGCAAACATTTCTACACAGTCGCTGGCAGTGAATCTGCCATTCAAGGTGATGATGGAGCCTGCAGAAAACAAGATATGGCTGGCCAAACCAGGACTGTGCTGCCACCATGTTTTACTGTTGAAACAAGACAGTCCTGGGACAGGGTTTGCCCCACGTAAAACACATTTGGTGGTTGGGAACAGTGTGAAGCTCGATTCATCGGACCATATTACAGTCTTCCATTAATCGATAGTCCAAGAGTCTCTCTATCTATTTATAATCACACACAATGTATGTCATAGCGCCAGTAATATAGCAATTTCAGGCATCCCTGCACTTTATAGTTAGCAACCTACACCATGCACTGTGATGAGAATCTGAGTGCTTAGGTCATAAATAGTTGCTATACAACATGAGATACTAAAAGGAAATGATGCCACTTATTAACCCTTACCTTCAGCAAGCGTTTTCTTATAAAATAGGGATTCTTACTTACCATATATTGCAATACATGTTCAACCTGGCCAACTGCATCAAAGCGATCCCTCTCTGGCCAGTCCCTACTCTATCTTACCAACTCTTATTTGCAAAAATAGATACCCTTGAAATTATAAACATATATTGCCAGTATAGGGCAGAGACAGCTGGAGGTTTATTTAAAAAGGGATTTATTTTACAGGTGCATATTTTTACCTCAGTTTTAATTATAACATATCGCCTATCAGAAATAAACTAGCAGAACATGGTCAGTTCAGCTCCTGGGAAACTCACTATGTCAATTCAAGCCTTTCCTTCCTTGACAGCAAATAGGAAGTCCTGGACTAATGAGCTAATTCATCACTCTGCTCCCTCCTCCTATCAGTATGCTCCTAGGCAGCACAAGCACTGTAGCACAACAGATTAGCTCCTTGTGCTTCTTTTCCCTCTACCAACCAGAGTTCTGCTGTACAGGGAATGCAAGAGACTGACACCAGGTCAAATTCAGTTACCTGCACTAGTCGATTACAAATACAATTAATCGTTTAATGAAAAGACACAACTGCATAAATGGCTTTTTTAAACTACCAGAATTGAGCTTCACCAGTTCAAAATGTCTTGTGAAAAGTGTGTGACAGGCACACATGTTGCAATTCAGCTCTTAGCTTGCAAAAGTGTCCATAGTCATTCTCTTTTTACCTTGCTCTTCATACTCCCAGCCAAACTTCCTGGAGTCTTTCAGTGCCTGACCCAAGAGAGCTGCTTGGTGCATTAATTTCTTTGGAATACACCCAACATTTACACATGTACCACCGAGTCCTGTATAAACACAAATCAATTATAAACAACAAGCTGGGGAGGTACAGGGTGACTAAGCAGTAACAAAGAGGAAATTATATTTAATAAAATAGCCTGTCATTGTTCTAAGCAGTTTATGTGCAGACAGCTACTCACATAGCAGGAAATGCAAGAAACAATCACAGCAACAGTAAGATACAGATGATCCCAGCCATTAGTGTCATTAAAGCTGAAGTTTAATCAGCTGACATTTCACCTGGCTCTTCCTTCCTCAAAATGTTAATGAAAAACTAAAATCTCAATTTTCAATGCATAGCTTATATGTGACTTAGTAATGCCATGATTAGGTGTCTCTGCCTCTCTATACAAATGAAAATCTTGCGTCACAGACTCCCCCTTACACTTACCTGAGTTCAACATCGATCCAGTGCTGTGCATGAGAGTAGCAGCTCTCCCAGCTCTTTCCCCCCCCCTCACAGGGCAGAACAATAGTAGGGGGGAGCCATTGGCTCCTGCCACTCAAATCCAATGACGAGGAAGTGGGGGGTGGGGCCAAGCTCTGCTGCCTGTCTCAACAGATGCATCCGGGGAGCTTGGGAGCGAGCCCGCATAAGTGCCGCATGGACATCAGCTTTCCATGGGGGCACTGGACGGGGTTCAGGAGAGCCAGCGGGGGACATAAGAGGAGGATTGGGGCTGCTCTGTGCAAAATGATTGCACCAAGCAGGTAAGTATAGCGTATTTGCTATTTTAATTAACCCCTTGCCCTCCTGAGGATTTACCCCCCTTCCTGACCAGGCCATTTTTTGCATTACGGCGCTGCGTTACTTTGACAATTGTGCGATCATGCAACGCTGTTCCCAAATAAAAGTCACGCCTTTTTCCCCACGAATTGAGCTTTCTTTTGGTGGCATTTGATCACCTGAGCATTTATTTTTTGCGCTATAAGCAAAAAAAAAAAAAAAAAAAAAGACTGAATTGAGGAAAAACAATATTTTTTTACTATTAAACATGTCCAGTTAAACAAAAAAAAAAAAATTTAAAAATCATGTAAACTTAACGATCTTCCTCCCCATCGGTGATAGTAAATCACCGGACGCCGGCGGGTAAGGCGCGCGTACCCCCTACCTGGAAATGCAAAATCACATATATACTAGTGATTTTGCGCACAGGTGCTGCCCTGTAGCAGTATATCTGCTATAGAGCGGTCCCTTCAGCAGTTTACAAAAAAAAAAAAAAAAAAAAAAAAAAAAAAAAAAAAAAAAAAAAAGGGGGGGGGGGGGGGGGGGGGGGAGAGAGAGAAACTATCATCACTTTAAATAAACTTTTAGAGAGCAATCCCAGCTGAATGTCTTATTTTGATTTGGATCCAGTGGGGGAATAGAACATCTTGCAGGCTTCAATTGTCGAGTCCCCATCGGGAAGACTGGCTCTCGCTTTCAGCACAGGCTCTCACCATAAAGTGCGGATAAATCTCCAATGTGGACAGCAAAGATGGATCCTATGTCAGAGCTACATCTATATACATATTTTTTTTTCTGGTCCACTTTATACCCCATCCAGTCACCCACTCCTCGGTTAACCCTTGATCAGGGGGAAGGGGGCAGCAATGAGCAGGTTGAGTTCTGCAGAGTTTTGCTTTAATACTCAGCAATCTACTGAAAGTTATTGCATGTTCTGCCTACAAAAGATACCTACCCCATGATGTCCCTAGAGGGGTAGGTTCAACGTAATCCAAGACCATGACCTTCTTTCCTAGAGAAGCTGCTTCCTGAAAAAGAATTTATCTATCAATAACCAAATTTAACAAAAAACAAAAGCCACACACACCACTTTAACCAATCATACACTGCAGGGATACTAAACCTGAACGCCAAACAGTTTCAAATCTCATTCACCTGTAAATGGGAGCGTGTTCAATCAGCCATCTTGTGGTTTCATGGTGCAGGTGGGCCAGCAGCATGAAAATGTATGACGCTAATCCAGGGCGGGCAGCATTTAGGGTTGCCGCAGCATTCAGAGGGGTACAGAAGTTTACCTGCTCTGCCTCCTGCCATGCTGTGGCATGTGATCAAAACTGGTAGTTATAAAAAAAAAAAGTAAAAAAGGGGTAGGAAGGGGTGGAGGAGGGTAGGAATGGAGGGGTAGGAATGGAGGGGTAGGAATGGGTAGGACTAGGAATGGAGGGGTAGGAATGGAGGGGTAGGAATGGAGGACTAGGAATGGAGGACTAGGAATGGAGGACTAGGAATGGAGGACTAGGAATGGAGGACTAGGAATGGAGGACTAGGAATGGAGGACTAGGAATGGAGGACTAGGAATGGAGGACTAGGAATGGAGGACTAGGAATGGAGGACTAGGAATGGAGGACTAGGAATGGAGGACTAGGAATGGAGGACTAGGAATGGAGGACTAGGAATGGAGGACTAGGAATGGAGGACTAGGAATGGAGGACTAGGAATGGAGGACTAGGAATGGAGGACTCTGATGTGAAGGGAGAGGCGGGATGTGGAGCGAGGACCCGCCCTTCCCTCCTGTAAGCATGCTCATTGTGTTAGAATGACAGCATGTGAAAACCAGAGACCTTATTAGTTCAACACTGCACCTCCCTTTTTAACATGATTGCTGCTGGACAGAAGGATTATTTTAAAAGCAAAATTAAATTATTTTGAAGCATAACTGAATTAAAATTGTATCTTTCCTCTAACTGCCTGTAGTGCAGCTTAAACAAGCAAATTGCTAAAATTTTACCTAATGAGTACCAAGAAAAAGGGTTTTGCATACATGAAAAACCAATCCCGGGATAAAGCACTGCAGGAGAATCATCCGCTTAGATGTCTGATGAAGTATAAGAGTTGCAGTACATCATTCTATCGGGCTCAGCTTCCTAAAGGACCCAGCAGGGTTAACATGAGCATACTAGGCTCATTAATTTCCCTATACTGAGACCTTCAGCTTATATCTAAAGACGCAACTCTGTGCTCCATGGCAGTCACAGTGCACGGATTTTCACAGCCAGCAGTTTTATATGTTAGTGTCCATACGGCAGATCAAAAGTGATTTGCTGGTCGGGTTTCAGTTCTTATTCCGGAAAAGATATAGCGGCCGCACATTTGCGTGCAATTAAGAAAAACATATATGCAAAGAGCGCGCGCCCTGCACGCTCCCAGCACACATCGGTACTCACGGAAAGGTTCCAATCTTTCGACTGGGACATTTCCTGATCATGTGACTGCTGTGACAGCGAATCACATGACCCTAAAACACTGCCCAGCATCCCAGCTTCTGAAACCCAGGCCGGGAGGCTCCGGCGCCAAGGGATTAAGGACCTTTTTACACTGCCCTACATACTACCTACACTGGACAGTGCTCAGAGATGACAGGCTAGCATTGAGGCCAGCCAGGCTTGAAACTAGTCATGCAATTGAGCCTGCAGAACCAGTTGTTCTGCATTATCCTTGAGGGTGACCAATTACTCTCTAGACATGGAAAAAAAAAAAAAAAAAAAAAAAAAAAGTTAATAAAAACATGAACACCAAGTTTCTTACTGAAACCAACTTAACCACTACCAGTCCGGACACTTTTACCCCCTTCCTGACCAGGGCTATTTTAAGCTTTCAGCGCTTTCACACTTTGAATGACAATTGCGCGGTCATGCAATACTGTACCCATATGAATTTTTTTTTACCTTTTTTTGAAACCGATAAAGCTTTATTTTGGTGGTATTTTTTATTCACCGCTGGGATTTTTATTTTTTTTACTATGTAAAGGAAAATGTCCAAAAATTTTGAAAAAGTGTTTTTTTTTTCATAAAATTTTGCAAATAAATAAATATTTCATCATAAATCTTGGGCAAAATGTATTCTGTTATTTTTTTAGTAAAAAAAAAAAAAAAATCCAAATTAGTTTATAACCCAAAATTATAATTTTTAAACAATATTTTATTTTTTTTAAATTATTTTTTATTTTTATTTTTTTTTTTTTTACATACTGTCACCCTAGCAGTACAGTGTCACCATGGTGACACTGTACTACTTGTGGGGGGTGATGAAGGTTTTTTTTTTTTTTTTTTCTTACACCGATTGCTTTTACACCCGTAAAGGATGTAAAAGCCATCATTTCTCCTTCTCCCTGGCTGCATTCTTGCAGTCATTGAGAAATACTGAGTGAGCTGTGATTGGTCACAGCTTGTCACATGGTACAAGGCTGTTGTGAATAGCCTTGTACCATGTGACCTCTGTGATCATTCACAGATTTCACACGTAAGCAATGATGTCACAAGTGACATCTTGCTTACTACTTTGCATGTGATCACTGATCGCCAATCAGTGATCACATGATCGGGACCTTGTACAGAGGTCCCGTCTGATGATCGGTGTTTCACTGTGTCCGGAGGACACAGCGGGCACCGGATCGCGGTGGTACGCGCTCCTAGGGAGCACGCACAGCTAGAAAAAACGCGGGTGCCGTTTATGAACGGCAACCCGCCCCTGGACTGCCACCACCCTGCTGTTTATAAACAGCAGGCGGATGGCAAGAGGTTAAGGTAGGCCAATTTATATTTTTATCATCACATCGCTTTAAAGTTTTCTGTGACCTTACACAAAGTTCTTTCCTGCAAGCGATTTGCTTCGCATTCCAGAGGTTCCCACACTATGGAGGCAACTGCGGGTTCCCAGCATGAATTAGTCACATGAAAATCTGCTGAGATAATGCAGCATTAGGAGTACCAGTCAGCAAGTGATGAGTACACAACCACGGCTGCTCCTTCTCACATATGGTAACCAAACTAAGAGATTAGTGAAAGCAAAGTCTTATCACACATATCCAGGTATTTCTTAGCCCATGTTACATTTCCACATTAGTGAGAACACACAGAGGCCATGCTCACTGGAACCATGTACCACATCAAAATATTCCGCCAGACATGGTGGAGAATTTAGCACATGCAGCCACAGTCTATCCACTCTTCTCCATGCAGAATGAACAGCCACTCGTTGGGTTTTCCCTCCATGTCGCTTGCTGGTGACAAAGGCCCTCTTTACACCAATGTGCTTTTGCCATGCTAAATGTGCCTTTCAAACAACAAAAGCACATGAAAAATTGTTCCATTTAAATCCAATGTAACTGTCACGCTACTGTGCTGCAATTTTAAGTCCTGCATGCTTCATCTTTGGTGCCCGGTTTCAAAAGTGCATGTCAATTTTAGATCAGGTGACCAGGGATGAAAACACATGCAAAAAGACATCTAAAAAGCATATGCGTTGCATTAAAGTTTAACAGAAGGCAATAAAATCACAATGTGTTTCTGAGAAAAGCATACTGTTTTTAAAGCGGACCAGTGTGAACAGGTCCAAACTCTGACACTTGCATGCTCTTGTTATCACTGATTTGGACTTCTACAGGACCCAAATATCACAACCGATACTCAAGTTATTTGCAGCGCTCACTTTTATTAAGCCATATATGAAAATGATTGTAGTCCGACAATGGCTACATCAGAAGAACTTCTTTCCATGGTGAACCAAAAACACACGCACTTCAAGCTTTTAATTCTGAATGGTAATGTGCGACTACCAAGGCTGGACTCTCAAGTAATCATTACTGAGGTATGTTCCCTACCATTCTTTATAGATTAACGTGGACATGTACTCAAGTGTAACCACCTATAGACGTTTATGAGGAAACTTTTGCTGGTTCAGCACTAGCACACAACTACTGAAATTTATTTGGCCAATAAGAACTTTTGCTCATATAACCAGACGTTTCAGAAGCCAACATCACAGTGGCTTGGTAGTTAGAACCTCTCTTGCAGTACTGGGGTTCAAATCCTGTCCACCATCTGCATTGAGCTTCCAATGTTCTCCCTGTGTTTGCGTGGATTTTCCTCTGGGTACTAGTTTCCTCCCACACTCTAAAGACACGTTGGTAGGTTTATTAATTCAGTCTAACTGGCCATAGGATGCGCGCACGCACGTGAGTATGCGTGCGTGTGTGCGCAACGCAGGGACATTAGATTGTAAGTACCATGAGGGCAGAGACTGAAGCTCCTGTACACTATGTAAAGAGCGGTTTAAATTGTCAGCACTATATAAATACCTGTAATAAATAAATGCAACATTTTATCCAGGGAAAGCATTTCATCCCTTTAATTTCTATTTCTCCCCCCTAGCAGGCATGACTTTAAAGATGAAATCAGCTTCAACATTCATGACCAAGTGATCTGAATGAAGTTAAAAAGGAATATATTGCCCTGTGGCCTCTCACACAGGTATTTTGCTTTGCAACAGATTCCACTAAGTATGCACAAGTAGAGCACAGCCTTGGTGGAAATACAAGAAAAAAAAAAAAATAAAAAAAAAAAAAAAATAGAAGAAGGAGGGATGACATTACCTTGGAACAAGCCAGACCACCCGAGCCTCCCCCAATGACAATCAGGTCATAATCATAGGAGACGGTATTGTTGTCCAACAGTTGCTGCAGGGTCCCATCCCGTTGAGCCTAGTGGGGCAAAAAACAAAACAAAAAATACAGGGCTCATAATAAAGAAGAAACACATCACAAATCCCATGTTATCACAGTAGGTATATTTGTAAAGGTCAGCTCAGACAAAATCTAAGAGCCTGCGGGAAGGAGTCAGCTCCTAGCTGCTCATCTTAGGACACTTGAAAGGATATCTGCTTTCCAGATTTCCCAGCTTGTCCCGGATTTAACTCTCTCTAATCTACTAAACTAAAATACCAGTGGGGGTGGACTTTCCCTTTAAAGGGGATGTAAACCTCAGACATGACATATCCCTCTGTAGTGTGTTTTGTCTCAATTAGGAGCACTAAGTGCCATTTCTGTCTCTTGCCTCATTCCTCTGCTAATAGCATGAGTCACTTCTGACAAACTTTTTTTGTGACACCAAGAGAAAAATGGTGTCAGAGGAGGCACTTCCAACACACAAACTCAAATCTGTTCCTGTAAGCCTTTTGAAGGGGGGGGGGGGGGGGGGGGTGTGTCCCTTCACTCCTATCAGCTGTCAAAGCCCTCCTCACTGAGCTCTGCAGAGAGTGTAACTTCAGCTTTCCGTCCCCCTTTTTTTTTTCTGAACACTCAGAAAGCTGTAAAGCTACAGCACTCTAAACAGATATAGAGAAATGAACACTGCAGATAAACAGGTACAACTTATGTAGGAGGATTTGTTTAATCTCTGGGTATCACCTGAGGTCAGTCACTACCCTGGGTATATGTAAGGGTTTACAACCACTTTAAGAGGATAGGAACTCAAGCAGAGGGCAAAAGAACTAGTCAGCAGTAGTGCCTGGAGCTGATCACTGTGTGTGGGTGGAGGTGGCCATCTTGTTATAGGAAGGGCTTTGCTTCCTCATATCAGACTCCAGCAAGGATCAGCACAGCAGTAACAACAATAAATCTTCATAAGTCAAAGGCTGCAGAGCCTTAGAACTTGCACTGCAGATATAGAGCTATGAGGCTGTAGGTACAAGAGTACATAGGCACATGCCATGAAGTGCACTGCAGTAATGTAACACACACACACACACACACACACACACACACTCTGTGATGTCAGCCAACAATTGGCTTTAGCTGGGCAAGTGCACTTCTGTGACCCATAAAAGATGTACGGTTCAATAAGCTTTGTCCATGCTTGTGTTAACATTTCTAAAATGTACCATTTTAACATAGCAAAGCTTCACTTTCCGTTCTACTTTAAATATTTACCAGTGTTTGGTCAGAAACTATACATTTTAACCCCTTCATGCTAAGCGTGCGCAAATATGCGGTCTCTCGGTGGCTGGGTCTTGAAGCCGAGTGGGCGCATATTTGTGTACCATGTGTAAACAAACATGTGCTGAAAGCGCGCACCCTGCATGCTCCCAGCACGTGTCGGTGTCCCACAGAAAGGTCCCGATCTCTTCCTGCGATCGGGACCTTTTCCGATCATGTGACCGCCAACCCCAGCAGTCACATGACCCTAAACCCCACCCAGCCTCCCGGTGTCAGAAACCTCTTAAAGGGCCTAGAGGTGCTGGCACAAAGGGGTTAAAAAACACACAAGAGGCCCTGACGGGCCCAGCAGACAAAGCTAGATCATTTGCTTTATTACTCCTGAAAATTACCTGAAATGTTTTATCACATCCTCCAACGTGTGTTTTATTTACAAAGACATTGGGAACGGTTCTCTGGCCGGTCATTTCAAAAAGGACTTCTTGAATAATGCTGCCATCATCTAGAAAAGAAATAATGGTCATTTTGATTATCAGTAATATGTTTAAAAATGGAAATCTCTATTACTTAATAGTACTACGGCTGACCTTCTCTCTCCCCCCCCCCCCCCCTTTTTTTTTTTTTCCCCCCTCTCTTCTCTCCCTTATTTTCTGACTTATCCTGGATCTTTCCTTTCGATTTTTCTAGTTTTGATCCTTTTTTTTTTTGGTTTTCTTATTGTTGGCAAATCTATATGGAATATATGCTTATGTTTACTGACTGATGGAACATTTGCTACCCTATGGGGATGGTGTTCCCCGTTTACAATATCATTGACTAATGTTTTTTCACATGCTGTTCTGTCTTGGCATCGATTGTACTTGTGGCGAGATTCGTTTAGACCCAGTCTGTAAGAATGTGTGCAGCAAGTTGAATGATCGCCTTAACAGATAGTTTACTCAATGAATAACAACTTCAGAGGTGTTTTCCAATGCTTCAAAGTAGCAAAGGTATGAACATAGAGGTGTTTTCATAGTTAAATTCCAGTGATGTTACACAGCTTCCTCACTCTACAGTCTCTTGATAACCACTAAACAAAATAGAGTTACAGCAGGAAAAGGAGGGTGGAAGCAACCAACTAGTCAGAAACCGCAGGGGTGTGTGGATGATACCAAATAGCATTATAACATAACATGTAATAACTGCTAAACAGTAAAGCCTATATATTATGAATATGTTTATACACCCCATCTCACCATGTAGGTGGACAATGTTTCTATTTCTGTGTATACCAATTTTTCAATAAAAATATTGAAAGATAAAAACGGAAATATTTATTTGGCTTTAACTTGCTTAGAGAGAAGAGAACACCCGCTTATATTAGTATGCAGCCTTCTACATGAGGTCAACAACTGCAGTTTCAATGTGCGGGGGAAAGCAACAGGTTCACTTTAGCCTCCCCCCCCGCAGCATAAATGACCTTCCTTTATGACCCCCAATGCGCCACTCAGCCCCTGAGGGTAAAAGGAAAGTATGTGTCATGGGAGTCACAACCTAGACAGGGCTATGGAGCTTTTATGTGACAGTGCTGATTAGTCCAATTCTTTTATTTAAATCCAGGTCACGTATTAGAATATATTTGGAAGTACTGGGTATTCGCTCTCAGCACTGAATGGAGAAACAGCAGAGTAAAGGAAAGGTAAGCATATGTTGGGTACCAAGACCGTTGCTTTGCCCTGAATGGCTTGCTCCATGGCTATGAATGGGCACAGCACAGGTTTGCTTTAACCTCCCTAGCGGTATTCCCGAGTGTAGTTCGGGGTAAAATGTTAGTACCAAAAGCGGTAACCCCGAGCTACACTCGGGCTTACCATGCAGCGCTGCATAGGGAGTCCCTGCAGCACTTACCTTGTCCTTCGCTCCCGCGATGTGTCCCCTGCAGCGTCCCCGGCCATCTCCTCCGGCTGATGCCGGCATCCGGCTTCTGTGTTCCGGTCCCTGTGACGTCGGGACGTATGGGTGCCGCCGCCGGCAGCGGGAAATTTGAAAATTTAAAAAAATTTCATTTTTTTCAAAACACATTTTTCATAGTAAAACATTGCTGTTTCAACCCATTTCACATACATTTTGTCCCGAGTGCTTTGTCCGGCGCTCTGCCTGCATTTTGTCTGTTCTTTCTGCCTGGAAACAGAGAAAAGTCCATAGCGTCCAAAAAGTGTCCCTTTAGGTCAAAAGCGGTTTTAGACCGGCTAGAGAACAGCGATAGTAAATCAGAACCACTTGCAGAATTGAGTGATAATGATTTGTGGGGGAAATTCCTCATCAGACACTGAAAACGATTTTGCGACTTTGCTCAGCGATGTGCGAACTTGGCGCTCTATTTCACATTTCAGTGTTTTTGGTTTGATTATATTATTGAATTAAATGTATTATATTATTTTTTGATTATTAAATTATAATTTATGATTTCGTGTTTCAAACTTTATCATACCCGGGATGTTTACTAGACTAGAGTTATTCCTAAAAATTACAGCCTACAATAAAAAAAACTACTTATTTCCATGCAAAATAATGGTACCGCTTTAAGCACCAAAAATCTGAAATAATCAGACCGCCAGGGAGGTTAAAGAATAACCACTTTTGTACAGAAAAACACACAAAGCAAAACCACATATTCCTCTCCAGATGACCCATTTAATATTTCAAGGATTTCAGCAAACTTGCAGATTCCGACCTTTTGTTATTCTGAAGAAATAGTTGTCAGTGTCCTTGTGCAAAATGAATGTGAATGGGAGAGATTCATAATCATCAGTCACCTGCTGCACCTGCAGGGCTCGAATGAGGAAAGCGGTAGGGCCTGCATCTCTTTAGATGTGATTTCCCTTTCGGAATATCTAACCAGAAATAATATTTTTGTTGCAGGGGATGCTCAAAATATGACATACCTTAGTGCAGACTTCTGGGAAAATTAGTAAGCCATCACACAAGCAGGCAATGAAATGTGTACAAACTGCCCCTAGGCTGCAATATTGAAGATTACAGCACTGCATGCTGAAGAGGAAAGGTCATTTTTAATAACATTCAATTACAACATGACTTGTGTTACAATTGTATACGCTTTTATTTGCCACTTTTTTCCTACGAAAGTGGAGTTACCCTTTAATTACATAATAGGAGAACAGAATGGTAACTAGCCAAGATCAAGTCCCGGAAACTACACAGATCTAGCGCTCGTTTCCTTCTGGATATTTGTTAAGTCCCAGAAACTAGTTTGTGGCTTTCTTCCGAAATGTGTTAGAAGGACTTGTAGTGATGGGATTGCCCTCTATTAAATCAGATTGTCATCCTCAGCCAAGTTATCTGAAATATGAATCTACTGCCACATAGAAAAGAGCCATTTGGTTATCTGACCCAGTACCCCCTTTACAGGCTAAACTACAATGTCCTGTCCCATGCAGGTAGAATAATGTCGAATCATGTAAACCACTTTACATCAGTGCATGTAACGACACCAGAGAATGCAGCACAATGATTCAGCATTTCTAGGACTCCGCTGAAGGCTGTTTGCTACATGTCAAATATTAATAGTAATATCTAACTAGACAGGCAAGTTTTCAGAGACGCAATCAGCTCAGCATGATCTTACCACACTGATCCAGCTCCAGCGCCAAATATTCACTGCCTAGGGAGGAAAAGAGTTCTTTCACCTGAAAAATAAAAAACATAATTCAAAAAAGTTAAGTTCACATGTATGTATGTATGTATGTATGTATGTATGTATGTATGTATGTATGTATTAGGGTGTAACATGTACCCAGCACTCTGACCGCCCGCCCCCCTCCCCCCCAGGACAAGAGGCAGGGGTTCCTCCCACCGTCACATTTAAAATGGACGCAGCTATGAGGGGGGCTCCGACCGCATAACTGTCAGTCAAAGATCTGTGAAAAACTGCAAATCCCACCTGCCACTGTGGAAGGCGGCTTGTAGTTCTCAAAGGAGTGCGCCGATCAGTGTACTTCCAGTTCACCGACACTTCCTCCAGCTAACTAAAAGCCAGTAAAGAGGTATAGGCAGAAAGCCTGAAATTGCACCCGCAATCCACTAATCACTAGGAAGTTCATTGTATTTCTGCAATCCACTGATCGCCGCAGATGCAATGCTTTGCAGGCTCCTGAATGAAAAATAGTAAATACAATTTTTTTTTTTTTTTTTCGTGAAAAAGACAACATGTGAACCCTCACCTTATAAAACAACCCGTTCAGTTTAAAATAGAAATGAAAGGCAAATATTTATGCATAGATATAGAAATTCTACAATAATTTTTTTTTCTGTTTTAGAAGTGATCACATTTCCCCTAAGCTCCTTACTACAAACAGCTGGGGGAGGAGAAACAGAAGCACAATGAACTTCCTGTGAATAGCTGTGCAGGGTGGGCAGAAATCTGATCATAGGAAGAGAGCATACTGAATTCCCAGCACAGCGAGAACTGACCACAGAGAACTGACCACACTGTGCTCTACTGCATGGTGTGGTCAGTTTTTATTAAAAAAGCAGGAGGGACTGGCAGGTACATCAGGGATTTAACACAAAGAAAACAATACAAAGCAGGGTGGATAAAAATCAATGATAAAAAAAAAAAAAAGGATTTTTTTAAAAAATAAAATGCTTTTTGGAGGAAAATATATTACCATCCAAAGGTTATTCCATCATGAAGTAAAGATTAGTTTTTTAATTATGTAGAATAAGGATGTATATGTTTAATTTTTTTGGTAAATAAATTCCATGAATCCATTCACAATGTCATGCTCTACCAGAGGTTTTTGTAAGATTATTGGGCAGTTTCTCTGCCTACAAGATATTATCACAGATGATTTGGTTTACTTTTGCAGTTCTCAAAACTGAATTTGACTCAGCGGAGATCACATGCCTCTTCTTCACAGCAAAAATGTTATAACATGAACAGAGTTAAGAAAAAAGACCTTCATCCTAACTTCTACAAAACCTATGAATACAGAATCAACCCCTTCAGTGCGAAGTTTCAAGAAGTTCAGTGAATAGAATAGAAACAATATTTTTCTGATTGTTTGGAGTGGAATAGATCTGCACAAGAAGAAAGTGAAACTAAGTGTGAGGAGGGAGGGGCTGACAGTCTAAGTTTCTTAAAATATATATATTTTGTTTAGCCAAATTAGTTATCAAACATGGATGTTTAAGCAAATCACATATGCTGGAATGTTATTGTTTCAGTTGAATAAATCTATTTAAATTGTTATTATTAAGGTAATGATTATTTTTCTCCTTCCTAAGTACAACAGAAAAGTTGTCCAAATATGAATGATTAACCTATTAAACTGGGGATAAAAAAACTAATATGAAAAGTTGCTGTTCTAAAAATCTTCATCTACTTGAATATTAAAGTTATACCAGCAAGAATTAGTCTTTATGTAGAAAACTAGGATTTACATCAAGCCTTACTGACTAGTGATTTACATCAAATCCACCCTGCTTTGTACTACCCTCAACACTCCCCTAGTTGTTGGAGACAATGTGGAGAGCTAGGCTCACTTTTTCGTATAATGTGGACATGTAAATCTCTCAAATCCTATTGGAACCAAGTGTTTCAACTGCTCTCTTCAATCACTGCATCCCCAATAATACCAAATCCAGCTTTAGCACTCCTACACATAGGGATTGAAAAATTCCCTACAGATTCCCGCACCATCATCATACACACGTTAGCGGCCGCCAAAATCAACATTACCAAATTATGGAAATCGTATAACACTCCTTTCTTAGATCTCCTTACTGACCTTAACTTTCAATGCGAGATGGAAAAGAGATCAGCACTTTATAAATCCTCATATCGAAAATGTGAATACCAATGGTCTAAATGGCTGCAAAACCCCAACTGCACTGTAAAATGATACTCATAACCTCACTGTACAAGAATCTTTTCAACCGACTGGTTCGCACTGCATTACATGCTTTCCAGGTCCGGGAAATTTTTCAACAGGGACCCGGAAGTGACATCATAACGTCACTTCTGGGTCAGGACAAGAAGGGGAGCGGATGTGTCCGTCTCCTCCCTCCCCTCTAGCCGACACAGTGAGCCAGTCCCAGGCCTGCAGATGGGCAAGTGGATCCTAGGAGACGGGGGGAGCCTGACACTGTGTGGAAGCAATCAGTGGCAGCGCTACCGCCCTCAATGGTTCCACCTGTCAGGTGAGCCCTGCTGCTTGCAGCAGGGTTAAAGGTAAAAAAAAAAAAAAAAAAAAAACACAAAAAAAAAAAAAAAACTACCTGCCCGGCACTACATGTCTCAGGCGATATAAAATTCAACATCCCTGGGAAAGCTAAAGCAGCAAGCATTTCCTTATTTGCAAATCATTGTGTCAGTTGTCAAATTTCCCTTCATTTCCTGTTCTGCAGACTCCCCAGGAAGTAAGAGAATGTCTTCTACCATGAATGATCTTTCTTACACAGCAGTCAAAGAACTAGTGTTAGGGATCCGGGTATGACCAGAGGTGTGTGGACTGACACAGGGAAACGCAGGCTTCAGGTATAGTGTAAATAAGACAATTTATGAAGACTAAAAAACACAAATGCAGTGCAAGGTAAACATAACACAGTGCAAACATCCCAAAGTCCAACAGATAACCATATATACAAATCAACATAGTCGGGCAGGCCGGGTCGGTAGCAAACGGGCAAACAGGGTACCAGGAGAGAGCGGAAGAGTGGTCAGGAATAGCCGAGGTCAGGACAGGCCGAGTTCACTCAGAGTCAGGATCAAGCAGAATCAGGAAGCAGACAGGATGCAGGTACAGGGGCTCATGGGAAACATTACACCAAGGCCCTGATCACAGGCCTGGCCATTCCTTAAATACACCTGCTGCAATCAGCCTCAGGTGATGGCTCATTGCAGGAGTGAGCCTCTGGTTGCTGAGAGCACCCGCTGGCCAGCCCTGGTACTGCAGCCCACAAGGCAGGTGAGTCCCACCACCACTGGCAAGTCGATTCCTGACAACTAGTGTCCCCAATTTTCCCTCTACAGATGCTATTCTGGTGGCAACGGCATATTCAGATTCCCCTCTTGCTTTTATTCCCGGTGACACTTATTTTCCTGATGACCAATCTTCCCAAGGCCCCTTTCACATGACGTTCATTCCACCAGGTGATGTCTGCTGATCCCCCACAGAGCAGAGCAAAGCGAATGGATGACTGGTCTGTGTTCACTCCACAAAGACACAGCCCACTGTCCTCTATGGGAGGTCAGATGTAAACGGACCGCCTGCACATTTACACCCGACTGCCATCTGATCCAATCAGATGGAGGGGAACGGTTCCCCACCCAGCTGTTTTTAGCCGATTGGATGCAGGCGGGTGTAAAGAAACATGTCCATTTACACTTGACGCTCCACAGAGGAGATGGAGACTGATAGGGTCTATACTTGAACAATTGGACCGCTAGTGTAAACAGGACCTAATGAGGACACAGAGCAATAGAAACCCAACAGGGGAGAACACACCACCTTCTGGACATCAAGTGGTTAAACATCAAAGTTCACTCATCAATGTAGCATGACAGAGTAATTATGGGTCAAACAATCCCAGCAATACACACTGGGCTGGGCAGGAAGGGGGGTCCAGAGGCTGCTGCCACAATGGTTAAAGGGGGACTCCACTCTAGACAAAACTACACACTACATATTTCCTGAGGGGAACAGAGGCCGCTATTGCCGATTTCCGCTAAAAAACAGGAAACGTCCCGGCTGTCATCCTCCGATGGACATTACCGGCACGATTCGGAAGGGGTGGCGCTGGATGAGGTTAGTACAGAGAATGTCGGTTATTTCCTCCCCATCACATCAGCACAGATTGTACAGAGCCACCAATATACTGGTCACACAGGATACAATCTGATTGTACATCTAGAATAGTAGATGGATTCTCCGATCGTACCACACGGACCCGGCGACCCACCGCACACCAATCCTAATGACGGCCAATACACACGGCAGGATGCGGCATCTTCCCATGACACACCTCCAAGTTATCCTGGGCTGTACCACTGCTGGGATTGCATTCTCCACTGATTGGAGGCTCCGTGCCATGCTGAAGATAAACTGGTCGGGGCCTAGGAACCCCTCAGTGGGACTACAGCACCACCTGGGGGCCTGGGAGTCGCCTCAGCAGGAGTACAGCACCGGCCAAGGGCCTGGGAGTCCCCTCAGCAGGACTACAGCACCGGCCGGGGATGTCCCCTCAGCAGGACTACAGCACCGGCCAAGGGCCGGGGATGTCCCCTCAGCAGGACTACAGCACCGGCCAAGGGCCGGGGATGTCCCCTCAGCAGGACTACAGCACCGGCCGGGGATGTCCCCTCAGCAGGACTACAGCACCGGCCGGGGATGTCCCCTCAGCAGGACTACAGCACCGGCCGGGGATGTCCCCTCAGCAGGGACTACAGCACCGGCCGGGGGATGTCCCCTCAGCAGGACTACAGCACCGGCCGGGGATGTCCCCTCAGCAGGACTACAGCACCGGCCGGGGGCCTGTTATTTCCTGAGTGATACTACAGAACCAGTCAGGGCCCCTAAGTGGGACTACAGCATTGTCCCCGGGGGGGGGGACGCCGGGACCTGTAGTTCCCCGGGGTGGGGGGTTTGGACGCCGGGACCTGTAGTTCCCCGGGGGGGGGGGGGGGGGAAGGACGCCGGGACCTGTAGTTCCCCGGGGGGGGGGGGGGGGACTCCGGGACCTGTAGTTCCCCGGGGGGGGGGGGGTGGACGCCGAGACCTGTAGTTCCCCGGGGGGGGGGGAGGGGACGCCGGGACCTGTAGTTCCTAGGGGGGGGGGGGGGGACCTGGTTCCTACGCTGGGACCTGTAGTTCCTAGGGGGGGGGGGGGGCGCCGGGACCTGTATTTCCTCGGGGGAGGATGCCGGGACCTGTAGTTCCTCGGGGGAGGATGCCGGGACCTGTAGTTCCTCAGTGCACAGGCCGCAGGTACACACATACAGAGGCCCTCACCTGCGTACAGTACGGACAGTAGCTCTTGCTGAACACCACCACCAGGTTCTTCTCCACCATCTCCTGTACCCGGCTCCGGATCACATCGTTGCCGGTGGGCGGCATGGCGGCGGCTGAGGGAAGTATGATCCTCGGCGCTCTCCGTACACTGAACCTCTTGTCCCTTCCCGCCTGGATTGTCACTGGCGCCGGACACGCCCACTCCTCTTCAGCCGTTACGTCACAATCCGCTTGCGCATCGCAGCATGCCTGGTAATGATGATAAGGCAGAACGGGGGTCACGTGATTGTAAAGGAGGCGGGGAGCCGGGCCAGAGCTGACAAGTGTCCACAGCAAGTGTTTATCCATGCCGTGTCCGCGGCAACTGTCCATCCATCCCGTGTCTATAGCAACTGTCCATCACGTGTCCATGGCAACAGTTCATCCATTCTGTGTCCATGGCAACTGTCGATCCATCCCATATCCATGGCAACTGTCCATCCATCACTTATCCGGGGCAACCTATGTCCCCATCCATCCCTGTCCATGGCATCATTTATCCTTGCCAACTGTCCATCATGTCTCCTTGCCAAATGTCTATCCATCACATATCCACGGCAACTGTCCATCCATCATCTCTCCACGGCAACTGTCCATCCATCCCATGTCCACAGTAACTGTCCATCACATATCCATGGCAACTGTCCATCACATATCCATGGCAACTGTCCATCCATGTTATCCAACTGTCCCATGGCAACTGCCCATCCATGTTATCCCATGGCAACTGTCCATCCATCATATCTCCATGGCAACTGTCCATCCATCATCTCTCAATCCATCTCAAATGGCACTGTCCATCCATCCCATATACACGGCAACTGTCCATCCATCCCATGTCCACAGTAACTGTCCATCCATCCCATGGCAACTGTCCATCCAAAACTTATCCATGGCAACTGTCCATCCAGCATATCTCCATGACAACTGTCCATCCATCCCATATCTATGGCAACTGTCCATCCATCATCTCTCCATGGCAATTGTCCATCCATCCCATATCTTCGTCATCATCCATCTTGTGTCCATCATGTATCCATGACTATTCTAGCAAATTTGAATGCACCAAGAATCAAGTCCCCAGTACAGCCCCCCTCTCTTCTTGCATGTTATGGACCTCCCCTCCTCTGGGTGGGGAGGGGTCTAATTGCTATCTGTGCTGGCCCAGCTCCGCCACCCTCACCTCCTTACATAACCTGCATTTTTGGGCTAAGCCCCGCCCCTTCAGAAGGGACGGTGAAAGATGACAGAACAGTGTATTTGGACTCCAACCTGCTGCTGATGAAGCCTCAGATACTATAACAAAGACTCCACCCAGCCCCATACACGGAGATCTCCGAATGTCAGCGTGGTCAATAAACTGATCTCACGTCATATCCTGCGAGTCAGTTCATTACAGTTAGATATTGCATTTGCAGGGGAAAAAAAAAACCTGTATATGCAGGAAATATCGAAAAAAAATGCGATATTGCCTTGGGGCGGGTTCGCACTATAGAAACGCAGTCCAGATACGTTCCGGATGCATTTTTGCATGCGCGTTGTTGACGCACTCCGGTGCATTTTTATGCATTTGTTTATGTGTTCCAGTGCGTTTTTTTTTTTGCATTCCAGTTCATTTTTTTCTCTTTTTCTTCAATGTTAATAGGGACGTGTGTGTTTTGTGGTGCGTTCTGGTGCATTTTCTATGCGTTTTTACTGCGTTCCAATACAGTTCACTGCAGGAAAAATGCAGCCTGTTCTACTTTTTTTTCTGCACCTAGAACGCACTGGAACTGCAAGCACTGACACGAATGATGTCATTGACAACCATATCACCTACTTTCTGTGCGATTTGGATGCAGAAAAAAGCAACTCAAACACATGGAGTGTGAACCGGCCCGAAAAATGAACTAAAAAAAACAAAAACTCTGTTGATTATCTCGCTATTTAACCCCTCGCCTTCCAGAGGATTTACAGAGGCCCCCTGCCTTCCATTTTTTGAGGCTGTGTTATTTTAACTGACGATTGCGAGCGCGGTCATGCAACGCTGCACCCAAAATGATGTCCCTTTTTCCCCACGAATGGAGCTTTTTTCGGTGGTATTTGATCTCCTTTGCGTTTTTTATTTTTTGCGCTTTAACCTCCCTGGCGCTATGAATATTTCAGATTTTTGGTGCTGAAAGCGGTACATTTTTTTGCATGGAAATTTGGCGTTTTTTATTGTAGGCCTGTAATTTTTAGGAATAACTCACTGAAATCTGTCCGAACAAGAGTCTAGTAAACATCCCGGGGATGATAAAACTTGAAACACGAAATCATAAATTATAATATAATAAATAATCATAAAAATTATAATATAATAATAAATTTAATTCAATAATATAATCAAACCAAAAACACTGAAATGTGAAATAGAGCGCCAAGTTCGCACATCGCTGAGCAAAGTCACAAAATCATTTCAGTGTCTGATGATGAATTTCCCCCACGAATCATTATCACTCAATTCTGCAAGTGGTTCTGATTTACTATCGCTGTTCTCTAGCCGGTCTAAAACCGCGTCTGACCTAAAGGGACGCTTTTTGGACGCCATGGACATTTCTCAGTTTCCAGGCAGAAAGAACGGTAAAAATGCAGGCAGGGCGCCGGACAAAGCACTCGGGACAAAATGTATGTGAAATGGTTTGATACAGGAATGTTATACTATGTGATTTTAGTGAATTTAATGAATGTCACTTTTTGACATTTTTAAATTTCCCGCCAGTTCCGTCCCCCGTACGTCCCGACATCGCAGGGAACGGAACCCGGAAGACAGATGCCGGTATCGGCCGGAGGACATTGCCGGGGACACTGCAGGGGGGACATCGCGGGAGCGCAGGACAAGGTAAGTGAAGAAGGGATCCCTATGCAGCGCCGCATGGTAAGCCTGAGTGTAGCTCGGGGTTACCACTTCTGGTACTGAAACTTTACCCCGAGCTACACTCGGGAATACCTCCAGGGAGGCTACACAAAAAAGACCGACAATTTTGAAAAAAAAAAATATTTTTGACTTTTTGCTATTAAACATGTTCAGTAAAAAATGAAAAAAATTAAATTTTGTCATAAATTGTCAATCATCTGGTAATTATCTGCCAGCGCCCAGTGATTACCAAGCAAAATTGTTGTTTTGTTTACAGTCTTCCTCCCTGTCAGCTCGAGCACACTGCTCAGAATGGCTGTGCACAGTACAGCCATCCCAATCAGTGTGCTTACAGTGAAGAACACCCGCCCCCTAGTAAAACACTCTCAGCACACAGTTAACCCTTTGATCGCCCCTCACATTAACCCCTTCCTGCCCAGTGTCATTAGTACAGTGTCAGGGCTTTTTTTTTTTTTAGCACTAATCACTGTGTTGGTGTCACTGCGGATGTCAGTGACACGAAGTTGGTTCCCCCCCCAGTGTCAGAATGTCCGCTGCTGTTCCGCTAAAAGTCGCTGATCGCCACCATTACTAGTAGAAAAAGAAAAAAAAAGTCCCATTATCTATACCGCCATTTGTAGACGCTAGAACTTTTACATAAACCAATTAATTTAAACGGATTGGGATTTTTAGCAAAGACATGGAACAGAATACAGTTTGGTCTAAATTTATGACGAAATGAGATTTTTGGCCTAAATTTATAACAAAATTTGATTTTTGGCCTAAATGTATGACGAAAGTAGATTTTTGGCCTAAATTTATGACGAAATTAGATTTTTGGCCTAAATTTATGACGAAATTAGATTTTTGGCCTAAATTTATGATGAAATTTGATTTAAATTTTTTTTTTACTGGACATATTTAATAGCAAAAAAGTCTAAAATATAGTTTTTTTCTTAAAATTGTCGGTCTTTTTTTTTGTTTATAGCACAAAAAATTAAAAAAACGCACAGGAGATCAAATACCACCGAAAGAAAGCTCAATTTGTAGGAAAAAAAGGACGGATTTGGGTGCAGCGTTGCATGACCGCGCAATTGTCAGTTAAATTACCGCAGCGCCGTATCGCACAAAATGGCATGGTCAGGAAGGGGGGGGGAATCCTCTGGAGGGCAAGGGGTTAAAATGGACTCAACACTAGGAAAGCAAAACAAACATAAAAACCCAGCATGCGCCCCCCCCCCCCCAAATCCATAGCATGCAACAAAAGGAGTAAGAGAAGAAGCATCCCCCCCAAACCATACTAGGCCACTTGTCCTCAACATGGGATGGCACCTCGGGGTAAGCGATCGCTAGGGAAGGAGGCAGAACACCGCCCCCCTCACTACCAGAGGACCTGTCACCTGTGCCAGCTACTGCTTCTGACCGGCTGCTTCACCGGTCTCCACCAGCTCATGGTTACCCATAGTATACGCTCCTCCTGCCGAGTACTCTTTACGGTGGCCTTCCTCTTCTACCCCAAGTGTTCAGGCTTCATTCTTCTACATACTCCATGTACCTTCATGCACCTCCTCGAGTAACCTCACACCAGGCTTTGTAACAGTTCAAGAAACTTTACTGGGAGTTCTGCAGCATTATAGTCTGTAGTCCAGACACAGCTTCCCAAACTAAGAAAGCAAACTTTTGGCTGCCCAGGCATACCTGTCCAGGTGTCCTGCCCAGGCATACCTGTATATGATTAGTAGATGTGCAGAACGAAAAATGTGTTTTGTTTCGTTGATTCATTTAAGTTACTAATTTCGTTTTGTTTCATTTATTATGACTGGATTCCAATTTTTTTCAATGGATTTGAAGTATTCGAATTGAATTTGAATCGAAAATATCAAACCATTCCAAATTGATTGTGAAGAATAGCTGGTTCTATTCTATTTGAAATTTGAATCTCGGAAAACGGTTATATTGTTTATATTTCATTGTATTCTAATCTATTCTATTTTCTCTTCTATTCTTTTATTTCCTATTCTCTTTTTATATTTTATATTCTTTTCAAAATTCACATTTCGGAAGGCAGTTCTTTCTATTTTTATTCTATTACATTTTTATGTTTTTATATATTCTACTCTTTTATTTTCTATTCTATTCATTTCTATTCTATTCTATTATTCTCTAATCTATTACTTTATTTTCTATTCTGTTTTACTCAATGTATTTGCTATTCTATTCGATTCTTTTTTATTCTATTTCTTTCTATTCTATTCTTTATTTTATTCTATTCTTTTATTTTGGAAATTCAAAAGACAGCTATATTCTTTTTTATTTTATTCTATTCTATTTTTTTCTGTTCTAATCTATTCAGTTATTTTATTTTCTATTCTGTTCTATTGTTTTCTATTCTATCCCTTTCATTTCTATTCTATTTTTTTCACATTTCGGGAGACAGCTATATTCTATTTTATTCTATTTTTCTCTAATCTATTCAAGTCTTTTATTTTCTATTCTTTTCTTTTCTGTTCTATTCTATTGTTTTCTATTCTTTTTTTCGATTCTTTTTTTTAATTTTCTATTCTATTCGAATATTCTTTCTATTTTATTCTATTCTAGTCTATTTTGTTTTGTTATTTTCTATTCTTTTCTGTTTTATTATATATTCTATTCTTTTTGAAATTCGAATTTCTGAAGAAGGATATATTCTAACACTAATACACATTTGTCAATGTCAGGGTCATTGTCATTGTGGATGTCAGTGTCATTGTCAGTGTTTTTGTCAGTGTCATTGTCAGTGTTGGTGTCATTGTTGATGTCAGGGTCATTGTGAATGTCATTGTTGATGTTAGTGTCATTGTCAGTGTCACTGTCGATGTCAGTGTCATTGTTGATGTCAGTGTCACTGTTGAGGTCAGTGTCATTCTCCATGTCAGTGTCATTGTCCATGTCAGTGTCATTATCAGTGTTTGTGGCAGTGTTGGTGTCATTGTCGATGTCAGGGTCATTTTCAGTGTTGGTGTTGATGTGAGGGCCATTGTTGATGTCAGTGTCGTTGTCGGTGTTATTGTTGATGTCAGTGTCATTGTCGGTGTCATTGTTGTGTCAGGGTCATTGTCAGTGTCATTGTTGATGTCAGTGTCACTGTTGATGTCAGGGTCAGTGTCATTATCAGTATTGGTGTCAGTGTCACTGTCGATGTCAGAGTCATAGTTGATGTCAGGGTCAGTGTCATTATCAGTGTTGGTGGCAGTGTTGGTGTCATTGTCGATGTCAGGGTCATTGTCAGTGTTGGTGTCGATGTCAGGGTCATTGTTGATGTCAGTGTCATTGTCGGTGTTATTGTTGGTGTCAGGGTCATTGTCAGTGTCATTGTTGATGTCAGTGTCACTGTTGATGTCAGGGTCAGTGTCATTATCAGTGTTGGTGTCAGTGTCACGGTCGATGTCAGGGTCATAGTTGATGTCAGGGTCAGTGTCATTATCAGTGTTGGTGGCAGTGTTGGTGTCATTGTCGATGTCAGGGTCATTGTCAGTGTTGATGTCGATGTCAGGGTCATTGTTGATGTCAGTGTCATTGTTGGTGTCAGTGTCATTGTCGGTGTCATTGTTGGTGTCAGGGTCACTGTTGATGTCAGGGTCAGTGTCATTATCAGTGTTGGTGTCAGTGTCACTGTCGATGTCAGTGTTATAGTTGATGTCAGGGTCATAGTTGATGTCAGGGTCAGTGTCATTATCAGTGTTGGTGTCATTGTCGATGTCAGGGTCAAAGTCAGTGTTGGTGTCGATGTCAGGGTCATTGTTGATGTTGATGTCAGGGTCATTGTTGGTGTCAGTGTCATTATCAGTGTTGGTGTCAGTGTCACTGTCGATGTCAGGGTTATAGTTGATGTCAGGGTCATAGTTGATGTCAGGGTCAGTGTCATTATCAGTGTTGGTGGCAGTGTTGGTGTCATTGTCGATGTCAGGGTCATTGTTGATGTCGATGTCAGGGTCATTGTGGATGTCAGTGTCATTGTCGGTGTCATTGTTGGTGTCAGGGTCAGTGTCATTATCAGTGTTGGTGTCAGTGTCACTGTCGATGTCAGGGTCATTGTTGATGTCAGTGTCATTGTTGGTGTCAGGGTCAGTGTCATTATCAGTGTTGGTGTCAGTGTCACTGTCGATGTCAGGGTCATTGTTGATGTCAGTGTCATTGTTGGTGTCAGGGTCAGTGTCATTATCAGTGTTGGTGTCAGTGTCACTGTCGATGTCAGGGTCATAGTTGATGTCAGGGTCAGTGTCATTATCAGTGTTGGTGTCAGTGTTGGTGTCTCACAGTCCCCTGGTCTCATCTCTCCAACACATTGAAATTAGTTGCCATGTTCAAGAATACAATGAGATGGAAATGTAGGAATTATTCTGCTAATTACCTCTCGGGCTCACAAATTGCCAATTTCGACGTGTCTTAAGACAGATAAATTGTATTTTATTTTTATTCTCGGTGCTGTTTGCAAACCAGATTACAATAACATAACATGTTAATAAAACAAGTCTAAATATTTTAATTATTAACAGGGAAGCCTTCTGTGTTTCTATGGAGATGGTAACATCGGAAAATGTTTCCTCTCTCAGGGGATAAAACTGTTTGCAGATATTAGAATCAACAAGCAAAGCTTTATATTATTTTCCTAATGATTTTAGAGCATTGGCGTCTGCCTTCCTGGGGGAGTACAGCAATAAGTAAGACACACTTCTGGAATGCCTTGCATTGCTTCTCCCCCTCAGATATGGGTATATATTTATTATTTTCTGGATGCATCAAAGCTCCGGATCGCTTAATTAGAAGGATCCATTCCTCATGCAGGATTTGTGATCTTATCTGGCTGGATGTACAGCAAGCCAAAGTCCTCCAGCAGGAGAAATTCTTCATTGAATGGTGCCCCCTGCTGGATACTTACCAATTAACACTCTTTAATGTTTCTTTGTATCATCAGGTTATAGGAATTTCACCCTCCTCTCCCCCAAAAAAATTAATTAAAGTAATTGTTCCTATTTTATAGTAAACAAGAAAACTTAATAAACCATGAAGTCCTGTATTGTAGTGCATAAAATGTTACTAAACCCACAACAGTA